CCAAAGTGACTCACACCGCGCAACCGAACAGAAATCCATAGAACGCGATGGAAACCTCCTGACTAATCCAACTCAGCGTAACCTAACGGCTCCATCAACCGATCCATGAAACACGCCCAAGACCCCGCCTTGAACCCGGCCAAAGCCATTATCTCCCTCCTCCTCGGCCTCTCGACCCAAATCGAGAAACTCACCACAGAAGTCCCCACCCTATCTGCGAGACACACCGCCGACGTTACCCTCCTGAACTCACGCATCAACAACTGCATCCCCCAGCACTCCCCAGCCCCCGCCCCCCAGACCCGCCCCCCCCCTCAACGACAACCTGCTCACCAATCCCGCCAGCCCCCCCGCCCCGCCCCGGCCATCCCACCCCCCCAAGGTCCCGTGCCCGAAGGGCCAGAGCTCTACCTCAATGACCCCATCGAAACCATCGACCAAAATGGCAATAGACGCCTCCTCACCTATGCCGAAAAACTCAAACAACACCAGGACAACTTCCGCCCCGCTGCCCCCTCCCCCGCCAATCGGAATGCAAGCCCCCGCAAACCGTCAGCACCCCTACCAGCAACAAACCTCCCCACTGCTCAACGCCGGTTCTTCGCAACCAGATCCAATCCCGCCCCCTTCCCGAACCACCAACAATTCGAAGCAAGACTCCCCTCCGACCTCGGAAGAGTCCTAGCCAATGCAGGCCTCACCCACCCACACACCGCCCTCCAAGTCCAGGTCAACCGTAACGGCACTGTCACCTGCACTGCCTCCCCCTCCACCCCCGCTAAAGACATCGCTCCCTACTTCCCCGGGCTCCTCGCAGTCCTGAACCTCGCCTGCAGCGCCACCGACAACCCGCTCAACGAGTTCCAACTCGCGCCAACTAATGTCGACTACACTATCCATAACATCCCCATCTTCGCCCTTGACGTCCCAGACTCCCTCTTCACCCCCCACCTCGCCGAAGCCGTCGCCCTCACCACTGAAGCGTCAGTCTCGAGAGCCCGATACCTCTCCAAGCCCGAAAATAGAGTCAGGAAAACCACCACCTCAATCGTCATCTCCATACCCGCCGAAGACACCAACAAGATCGGAGACCAAATCCGCTTATTCGGTCGCTCCCGCCGATGCAATAAACTTTGGCCAGCATCCCCTAACACCCTCTGCCGCAGGTGCGCCCGCCTAGTACACGCCACAGAAGGATGCCAATCATCCTCACCCACATGCCCTCTCTGCGCAGGCAACCACCTCCGCAAAGACCACCGCTGCCCCAACCAAGCCTGCCCTAATGAAGGCCACCTCAAACCTGTCATTGATTGCTGCGCCACCTGGAAAGCCAAATGCATTAACTGTTCTGGCAATCACATCGCCTCCTACAGAGAGTGCCCCGCTAGGCACTCCCGCACCCACACCACCACCACAGCACCCGCCCCTCAAGGCATCTCCCCCGCCCCCCAGAGCTCCCCCGACAACCTATCACCGGTCACCCCGTTCCATCCCTCCACCCCTCAGTCCACATCAGTACACGCACCTCAACAACAAGAGCCCGCGGAAGAGGACTTGACCATGTCGCAGTAATGCCAGCACGATCCTCCTCCCTCCCCTCCTCCCCCCCCTTCTCAACCTCCCACTGTTCAGACATATCTAGCAGAGATCCTTCCAGCAATCTCTTTACAATAATCCAACTAAACTGCGCAAAAAGCAACGCAGTCTTCATCTCACTCTTTTCTTCCTTCTCTAAACAACGCCCCCCCCAAATCGTCGCAATACAAGAACCCTTCACCCTCCTCAACCACCCCCTTAACGCACCAGGATACGAATGCATTTACCCTCCAACATCAGAAGACTAACCCGTATCGGTCGCCTTCTACATATATCTCAACTTCCTTCAGCACACCTTCTACTTCCCCATCAACTTCGATAGAGGCGACGTTTTCGGCAGAGCCATCTACTGGAGAAACTCCGACACTCCCTCCCTCCCGCGCAACTAGAAATAGTAAACGCCTATAACTGACACATCACACCCAGCAGAAGATCAATCCTCCCGGAAACGATATTCCGCAATACCAGAAACCCATCCATTATCTGCGGAGATCTTAACATACACAACATCCGCACCGACCCCCACCGTACCATAAACAGAAGAGAGGAGTCACTCTCCTCCCCCTACTTCTCCACAGCCGCCGCTAATGGCTACTCCCTGCTCAACATCCCCGGCAGGATCACCCGAATCTCTCCCAACCCTCTGCAAAGACATGGGGTCATCGACCTAGCCTTCGCAAACCCCCCAGCACTCAACCTCTTCCACTCATGGTCCAACAGGCTCCCCAATGCAGGCTCCGACCACACCCCAATCAAACTACGGTTCACTCTCTCCCCCAGTATGACCTCCCTCCCTACACACTCCCCCGACTGGAAAAAGGCCCCCTGGCCCGCAATCCAAGAATCCCTTCGCAAAACCTGTCTCCCCCCGATCTCATACCCCATCGACCACTGGTTCGGAAGCGCCTTAGCCGCCATCACCGAACCAGTCCTCGCTGCCACCCCGTCCAAAAGGCCATCCTCATGGTCAAAGGCATGGTGGTCCCCTCACCTCTCAACACTCAGACGGATCCTTAACTCCGTCACCAGAGCCTACAAGAAAGGACTATCACCCCCCTTTGAATACAAAGCCGCCCGCAATACATACTTCTCAGCCATCCAGGAAGACAAAAAGAGACACTGGAACGACTTTGTAGCCCAGGCCGACTCACAACAAGTCTGGGCCCTCAGGAAAGCCGCGACCCGGAATAAGGAGAATAAGCTCCCCAAGTTCCCAAATGCCTCCTCCCCAGCCGAGGTTAACCAAGCCCTCATATCACACTTCTTCCCCCCCCAATCAAACCCCACCCCAGCTCCCCAACCGAGCTTCTTCCCTGATACTCCAGAAGTAACAGCCGATGAAGTAGCCAAAGCACTAGCCGCTTCCTCAAACAACTCAGCACCAGGACCGGACACATTCCCTCCTGTAGCCTGGAAAAGAATCCACCAAGGAAACCCATCCCTCATCCCCCAACTTCTCACCCCCCTCCTCAGAAGCGGATACCACCCGATAGCGTTTAAGAGTGCCTTCGGAGTCATTCTCCCTAAGCCCAACAAGCCGGACTACAACCCCCCCGCCGCCTACCGGATCATAGTCCTCCTGGAAACAGTCTCAAAAATCCTCGAACGGATAATGACGTATCGCCTTCACGCTTTTGCCTCCTCATCCCGCCTAATACACCCCCATCAATGCGGTTCAATCAAAGGACTGTCCACAGCTGACGCCGCAACTACCCTCCTACACGAAGTCAGGCTCCTCCAACGCGGAGGACTGAAGGTCTCCTCCCTCTTTCTGGACGTCAAAGGGGGCTTCGATCACGTCATCCCCTCGGTCCTAGCAGACACCCTTCGCAGCAAAAACACCCCCTCATACATGGTCCAGTGGGTCGAGTTCCTATCGGACCGCAAATGCACTCTTCTCTTCCCAGGCGGCCCACGCGCCTCCCTACCACTAGCCGTCGGAGTGCCCCAAGGCTCCCCCATCTCACCTCTCCTATTCTGCATATATGTAGCGCCACTCCACACAGACCCAGCCTGTAAGGAACCGTGTGCGAAGGCTTGGCAATAGGGTCGAAGGACACTAGGGGGCTCCTGGGAAGGAGAAAGTAGGCTCGCACGATGGCGAGGGTGGAGTCAGCGGTGTGCCCGAGGGCAGGGACAAGGGTCCATACTAGGATGGAGGAGACAGCGGTCGGCGAGGGGCCGAGGGGAATAGCGGGGTAAGCGAGCAGAGGGCCACGAGGGCGACGACGAGGAACATAACGGCAGATGCGAAGAGCATGATGGGCAGCAGACGTAACGTGGACGGAGAGTAAAGAAGTGTATTGAAGCGAAGTAAATCCCCCAAAGTAATAACTCAAAGTAAAATACAAGATGTTGCGTAAGGAAAGAAGTAGACAGTGAGGGGGCAAGCACCCCTATATATAAGAAAGAAGAAACAACCCGATTACTAATCCTTCGCAGAAACTTCCGGCACTTTCCGATGACTCATGCTTCCTCCGTGTTGCGGTAGTGGTTCGTAAAAGTTTAGCCCCTCCTCTCGAAGAGCGAGCTCCTGCGAGCAAGTAGGCGGGAGGCGAGGTAAAAGTAAGTACATAGCAAGTTAGCAAATGGCTGTGGGCGAGACACCAGGGAACGTAACATAGAGCGGTTTCATTTGCGAAAGAAACCGTAACAAACTATACTTTCCTACGCAAGGTTCTCTTAAGGATTGCCGCGGACTTGTTGGGATATAGGGAGCGGAAGCGTTGCAGTGCCCCTAATTCCGCATCGAGATTCCGAGCCAGTTCCCAGGCGGGTTGTTCGTAGCCGGTCCATTTGACTAGGTATTGTAATTGCCGATGCCGTATTCGGGAGTCCAGTACTTCCTGTACTTCAAACTCCTCCTCCCCTTCAACGATTACCGGGGGCGGTGGTGGTTGTATGTGGCCTGGCAAAGGTTGGGTCCGAGCAGGTTCTAGCAATGAAACGTGGAATACGGGGTGGGACTTCATCGAGGCGGGGAGTTCCAAGCGGTAGGCATGTGATCCAATGCGTTCGAGTATTTTGAACTTCCCTAGCCGTTTGTGATCTAGTTTGTCCAATGGCCTAGTGGTGCGTATGTGTTTTCTCGATAGCCATACCATATCTCCTACTTCGAGTCGGGGCTCTGGAAGTCGGGCGGCGTTTGCACTCTCGGCGGCGGCGGCTTGTGCATACAGGATCTCTGATCGCAGTGCAGCCTGTAAGGTGGAGATTGCGTTCGCAAATTCCAATACCTCCTTCGGCGTGACTTTGCGCGTTTCTTCAGCAGGGAGGACGTCTAGTTGGGGGTTATACCCATAGTTGGCAAAGAACGGGCTGACTCCCAACGGTTCCGTAGAGGCATTGTTATGCGCGAATTCTGCCAGGGGGAGAAACTCTGCCCAGTTATCCTGTTGGTAGTTGACGTAGCCCCGTAAGTATTGCTCCATAATGGCGTTTACCCTTTCGGTCTGTCCGTCTGTTTGTGGGTGGAAGGCTGTGCTGAATCAGGGTTTGATGTCCAATTGGCCACAGAGTGACTTCCAAAACTGCGAGGTAAAGGTTGAGCCCCTGTCTGATAGTATGTCTTTCGGCAGCCCGTGTGCTTTCCAGATGTGTTGTAGGAATAGTCGGGCCAGTTCCGGGGCGTCGGCGGTGTCTCTCGTGGGGATGTAGTGGGCCATTTTGGTGAGCCGGTCGACCACTACTAAGATGGCGTTAGATCCTTGGGACTCGGGTAGGCCTGTAACGTGGTCCATGGATAACGAAGACCAAGGTTTGACTGGGGGAGCCAGTGGTTTGAGGAGACCATACGGGGCGTGTCGGGCCGGCTTAATTCGGGAGCAGGTATCGCAGTGGTCCACATAACGGGCGACGTACTTCCGCATTTGGGGCCAGTAGAAGTTCCGGGACAGTAGTTCCAGCGTGCGTGCCCGTCCTGGGTGTCCGGCCGAAGGTGCGTCATGGTGGGTGCGGAGGATCTCCAACTTGATAGCGGCGTCGTCAGGGATGTATAGTAGGCCCTGATAGTACAGTAATCCTTCCTTAACTGTGCATTCACCTATGGGTAAGAAGCGGGAGTGTTTCTTCTTGGCCGCGATATCCTTCATGAGTTGTTTGGATAGCGGGTCCTTGGCCAGTGCGGTCTCGAGTTCCCTTTGGCGGGATGGTGCCACTTTGGAGGGTGTGGGGGTCTGTAGTGCGGCCGCCAGACGAAGGTTCTTTGGTTTTAGTACAACCTGGTACTGCTGGGTCAATCTTTCATCCCCTTCCTTAGGGAGATCTCCAGATCGACGTGTGAGGGCATCAGGTTTCCCATTCTTCGTACCCGGCGGTAGGTGACTACAAAGTTGAAGGAGGACAGCGTTAAGGACCAGCGGGCTTGACGACGGTTAAGGATCTTTGTGGACATGAAGTGCTCCAGGTTCTTATGATCGCAGTACACCGTGGTTTCTTGGTTGTTGGGTTCCAAGTACTTTCGCCATTGTTCAAACGCGCGTACAATCACTAGCAACTCTTTGTCATAAATGTCGTAGTTGCACTCGGCTGGCGTCATCTTGTGGGAGTAGAACGCCACAGGGTGTAGGATTCCCTGGTCGTCCTTCTGGGAGAGTACAGCTGCCGCAACAAAGTCAGAGGCATCGGTTTCCACTATGCACGCTCGTTCGGGGTCATAGTGCCTTAGTACCGGGGCGGTGGTGAAAGCTTCCTTTAGTTGGGCGAAAGCGTGTTCCGCCGCGGTTGTCCATACGAACGGGGCGTCCTTCTTCAACAGGTTCGTCATGGGGGATACTACCTTGGAGTAATCGCGGATGAATCTTCGGTAGAAGTTGGCGAACCCCAAAAAGACCTGTACGTCGTGGACCGAGGTGGGTGTCTTCCACTCCTGGATCGCCTTTGTTTTGTCGGTTGCCATGGTGACCCCTTCGCCGGATATGATGTACCCCAGGTACTCGGTACGATCTACGTGGAACTCACACTTCTCTGGCTTGCAGTGGAGGCCCGCGGCTTGTAGTTTGTCCAGGACAATGCGGACATGCTGCTGGTGTTCTTCGGGCGTGTTGGAGTAGATCAGGATATCATCGAGGTACGCCGTGTAGAAGTCGTCCAAGTGGGTTCGGAGGGTATCGTTCATGAAGGCCTGGAAGGTAGCGGGGGCGTTGGTGAGTCCGAATGGCATGACCAGGTATTCAAACAGCCCGTACCGGGTTCGGAAGGCTGTTTTCCATTCTTCCCCTTCCTTGATTCGGATTTGGTTGTAGCCCTGGCGGAGGTCCAACTTGGTGTATACCTTGGCGTCTTTTAATCGGTCCAAGGTGTCGTTGATCAACGGTAGGGGGTAGCGGTTCTTGATGGTGACTGCGTTGAGGGCGCGGTAATCCACACATAGCCTTAAGGATCCGTCCTTCTTTTTGATGAACAGAACGGGGGCTCCTGCGGGGGACGAAGATGAACGGATGTACCCTCGGGCTAGCTGGTCATCCAGGTATTCCCGCAGGGTTTTTAATTCCTCCGTGGACATGCCGTACAGGGGGCCAAAGGGTGGTTGCTTGCCTTCCATCAATGGGATTTCGTGATCGATCTACCGGTGGTTGGGGAGTGCTTGGGCCTCGGATTCCTGGAACAGGTGGAGGTATTGGTGGTAAGCGGCAGGGACCAGTTCATCGGTTGATCGGGACGGCGATGAGTTTTGGCTTGGGGCTCGGGCTGCGAGGAGGAAAAGCTGGTTGTCCGGTTGTTGTGCTTCTCTGCGGAATCGGGCGGCGGACAAGGTAATCGTGCGGCGAGGGGTGGCTGACCTTGGGGGTATCGGCGGCGGGCGCGAGGGGGTGGCGGTGCTTGGTCTTGGGGGTATTGGCGGGGCGGCAGGGTGGCGGCGGAGGCGGTCAATGGGGGACAGGTGAGGGTGGAGGTCCAGAGAGTTGCAGTGTGCTGTTGGCAGCGTTCGGCGTGGAAGGAAATGGATCGGTCGGCGAACCGTATTTCGGCAGCGTGGTGTTGTAGCCAGGGGAGTCCGAGGACCACTTTCGCGTCGCCGAGCTTGGTGACAAACAAGGAGGCCCCTTCCACATGATCATTCATCTCGAGGCGGAGTTTGCAACAGTGGGTGATGGCTCCGGAGGCGATGGCTCGTCCATCGATCACTTGCAAACCTCTTGGGGTTGCGAGTTCTTCGAGGAGATATCCGCGGGCCTTGGCGAAGGAAGCGTCAATGAACCCGTATCCGGTGGCTCCGGTGTCCACCAGCGCCTGGAGCGCGTCCTTGTTCCGGGATAGCCGTATTGGTACTTCAAAGGGTTCGCAATCGCCGGGGTGGTGTAGTTGTCCGATCTTGAGTTTGGCTCCTACCCTTCTCGTTCGTAAGAGTCGTGCGGCCGTGTGGGCGCCGGGGGCGTTGGTGACGTGGGCTGTGCCCCCATGACGGGTGACCAGGGCAGGGAGTAGTGGTGCTCCTAATCGATGAAGGGTATTCAAGACCTTGACAGGCGATGGGTATGGTCCGATGCCGATGAGGTAGGGGTGGAAGTCCCTGGAGGTTAGTGTTAGGAAACACCAACCCGGGTCGTTTCCTGTAGGGTTTCCAAAAGAGGCAGCACGTTGGAGGAGGAGGCGTTGTAGTCGTCGAGTGCGTCGGGGTGTCAATAGTGGGGGGGTTTGGTCGGCGAGTGGTTCCTCCCTAGCTCGGGGGAGAAGTCTACCGAGTAGGTAGGCTGTTGTCCAGGCTAGGAGGAAGAGGGCGGCGTAAGTGAATGGTAGCAGTGTGTTGGTGGTCTCCGGAGAGAGGGTGTCGGTCGACCATAAGATACGCAACATAGTGTAAGGAACCGTGTGCGAAGGCTTGGCAATAGGGTCGAAGGACACTAGGGGGCTCCTGGGAAGGAGAAAGTAGGCTCGCACGATGGCGAGGGTGGAGTCAGCGGTGTGCCCGAGGGCAGGGACAAGGGTCCATACTAGGATGAAGGAGACAGCGGTCGGCGAGGGGCCGAGGGGAATAGCGGGGTAAGCGAGCAGAGGGCCACGAGGGCGACGACGAGGAACATAACGGCGGATGCGAAGAGCATGATGGGCAGCAGACGTAACGTGGACGGAGAGTAAAGAAGTGTATTGAAGCGAAGTAAATCCCCCAAAGTAATAACTCAAAGTAAAATACAAGATGTTGCGTAAGGAAAGAAGTAGACAGTGAGGGGGCAAGCACCCCTATATATAAGAAAGAAGAAACAACCCGATTACTAATCCTTCGCAGAAACTTCCGGCACTTTCCGATGACTCATGCTTCCTCCGTGTTGCGGTAATGGTTCGTAACACAGCCCCTGGCATCACCATCTCATATGTCGACGACTTCGCCTTCACAGTCGCCTCCCCATCCCACCAACAGAACATCGCACTGCTAGAAAATGCCTACCGTAAGGCAACAGACGCAGGCACCCCGCGCAACATCCACTTCTCCCTCCCCAAAACAGACCTCATCCACTGGCGCCCCAGCGCTGATAGGAGTGCACCCTCCACACTCCCCATCACACTCAACCGAACCCCCCTCGCCCCTAAAAGAGAAATCCGCTGGCTGGGCCTTCAGCTCACCGACAACCTCAACACCTTTAACCACTTCTCTAAAAGGTGTGCCTCAGCGCAAGCCTACTTTGCCATCATAAGAGGATTCGCCTCAGCAGGCAAAGGCCTCAACCCCCTCAACTGCCGATGACTAGCAGTCATGGCAATCCTCCACATGCTCACATACGGAGCCTCTGTCCTCGTCCCAACAGCACGAGCACTCAAGAGGCTCGAGACCACCTGGTACTCAGTCCTCAGATGGGTCACCAACTGCTTCAGATCAACCCCCCTCTCCATACTACAAGCCGAAACATCCTTCCCACCACTCGCCCTATACATCCCCTCCCTACGCATCAGATACGCCGCAAGAATTCAAGCCGCATCCCCCGCATACAACCCAGTCACCACACGCACCCCAGACTCCTTCCACACACTCTCCACCTACAGAGAGACATCTCACCGACACCTACTAAGAGGCCGCCCAAACCCCCCCGTCAACTGGAACTCGACCAGGAAAGGGGTAGCCCGACTCCCCATAGATGACCTCTGCCACGCACTGCTCACCAACTCACCAACTTTCGCCCAGAACCCCAACACCATCCACCCGGGCCTGGCGCTCTCTATTAAAAAAGACACCATGCAAATCTGGAAGAATAACCCCCTACCAGACTACTACAAATTCCCAATCAACACTCGCCCACACCCTCACCTCAAGCTCGACCGCTTCATCGCAGGACGCATATGCCAAATGCGTGCTCATAAAAGCTACCTAGCGGCCCACCCAACATGGATGTCCCAGGACCTCCCCCCAACATGCCCCAGATGTCTCCTCGAAGACGAAGACCTCGAACACGCCATCCTACGCTGCCCTGAGCGCAGTCCCCAGAGGGCAACCCACATACCCTTTGCAAAAACCCTCGACGACCTTTGGTCACCCCCCGCCTCACTTGCAGCCCTCTCTTCCTACATAAGGGCAACCAAAACCGGGTTCCCCCCACAAATGGGCCCACCCAAATCGCCACCCTACGACCGATCCTCAGACTCCGAACTCACCTCCCTCTCATCAAGCTCGGCCTAGACCACCTCCATCCGCAACAGGCCCAAAGAGCCAGTTATACGCACCACAATCCTCAACACCGAAAGTGTCCTCTCTCCGCTCTCCTTATTCTCTCTTCTCCTATGTCCTGTCATATTACGCATAGCTGGTACGAAAGTACTCTGCCCCTGAGGGGGACGTTTTTAAATTTCTTTGTTTGCTGGCCGGTAGGAGGAATGTCAGGGTCTCTTCACAGCGTCTGCTTCATGTACACACTCTCATATGTTTTGTCTTTCTCTTTTGTTTTCTTCGGCGGTTTGGTAGGGGAGGGGTGTTGTTCACGCCATAGCCTAGGCTCCATGCGATATTCTTGTACCCAGAAATAAATGAAACTATGATTTAAAAAAAAAAAAAAAAAAAAGCGAGCTAGTTATAGGGTCGTTCCGCTGCGGACACCTTTACAAAGGGATTGTCTACATTTCCACATTCTGTACTGACTAATACGTGACAAATCACTTTACGGCAAATGTGCCCAACAACGGCTAATGATTTTATGACAGATTTCTTTTTTCTCTCGTGGACCTGCATGAACGCATATAAATATTGTGACTTTGTACCTGAATGTATCTACATTTAACTCGCCCTCCAAGGGCATAAATAGTCAAGATTAATCTATACCCTACGATCAAAGCCCAGTATAGCCCGGGAACTCAAACCCTTAGAGGGAGAGTTAACTATATATACTAACATGCCACGAACTAACAACCCCCTCCACCCCATGGACCCATTCCAACGGAACCCTTTGCACACATGGCCCTGCCCTCCTCAGCACAAGGAACCCCACAAAGTACTTAATCCTGCATATATATCTTTGCATAATTATGATAACCAAAAAAAACTACATAAACTACCAATTACTCCTATATAACTACATGTAACTCCTGATTATATCAAAAAACGAAACCCCGTGCCTGTCGCGATCAAGGAAGTCAATAATTCAAACACAGTCCAAAAAGAGTTTCCTGGGGTCGGGGGCGGTGTCGGACCTCAGCTACGTATCCAACGATTCGTCCTGGTCGGCAGCCGTACCCTCCTGCAGCTTCTTCAGAAGTGTGTCGAATCGAGTCAGTAAATCAGCAATGCGGAACGGCTTCGATATTGCATCGTCCTACAAGATGCATCCACATTTATTAGCCACCACTACCAAAACTTCTGAAGAGGAGCTGAAAGTCAATAGCCAGCCAGACTTACCATCCCCGCCTCCGTCATCTTCGCGACCTGCTCTGTCCTCGCATTCGCGCTGATGCCCATGATAGGCACATGCCTCTTAATAACGCCCTCTCTCTCCATCTCACGTATTTTGAGCGTCGCCGTGTTCCCATCCATCACAGGCATCTCCATGTCCATTAGGACGATATCAATCCTGATGCCGCCTTCCTGCTTTGTAAACACGGATTCAGCGATGACTTTCAGCGCCTCCTCTCCATTCCCCGCGACATGCGTTATGCACCCCTCTTTACGTAACTGCCGCCGCAGCACCTCCTGGTTGATGAGGTTGTCTTCAACAATGAGTACGTTGTAAGAAACCTGCTCGCGCACCGCCGCTCCCGGATGAAACGGGCGTGGGTAGGTTTTCATGGCTACAACGCCGACCTCACCGGCAGGCGCTGTGGCAATCTCTTCAAACTTTGATATCTTGCGATCGGTAGTGGAACTTGCGCGCGGCGATGGTTGTGGTCTCGGAGATGTTCGCGGGGCATCTGGAAGGCCCACAGAGCGACGGGCACGGATGTAGAATGAGAAAGAGCTGCCGCGGCCTTCCTGGGAGTGGACACCAATCTCGCCACCTTGAATGCGGCAGAGCTGACGGCAGATGAAAAGGCCAAGGCCTGAACCGCCATAGGTAACGTGCGTTCGAGGGACTTGCTCAAAGCGCTTGAAGAGCTTTTTTTGCCATTCTTCGCTGATTCCTATGCCGCTGTCCTATGATAGGAGTTAGGAAATTATGTGGAATTTTGTTAGGTGGATGGGGTAAGAAGTACTTCAACGGTGATAAGGATATAGACCACTTCCCCAGACCCCCAGTCAGCTGTGGGGATATCTTGTAGACGGACCTGGTCGCCGTTGCGGTAGACTACGGTGCCATGGCCGGTAGGCCTCTCCAATGATGCTCCAAGGCGGGTAGTTATCTGGCGCTTGCCGGTCTGGAGAGACGTGAATTTGATGGCGTTGGTAATGAGGTTCATCTAGTACTCAACGCCATTAATCATGCCATCCTTCTATTCTTCCAGAGGGCGATAAATCTTACCAGAATCTGCGAAAATCTTGATGGATCAGCTTTAACCCAGTCTACTGCAAGTTCCTTGTACGAGTCCTCGATCTGACCCACTCCCACTGTATTAGTTCTATGACTTCCACAATACAATATTGCTATAAGGAAGCGTGAAGACGTGCCATGTATTCACATGTAATCCTCTTGACATGCAGCTCCGACTGGAAGATTTTCATAATCTGGCTCACAGTCTCGTGCATTTGCACGTCTACCGGAACCACACTTAGCAGCATCGAATCCAGCTTGCTCAGCGTAAGTACATCGTCGATAATCCGCATCTACTCTCTCCTCTCCAGTCAGCGAATACTCCAACCCCGCTAAAAAAAAACTCTCACCAACGAGAGTCATATTAAAAGATACAAAATACAAAAACAAACATCGATTTAATTCATTATGTCATCATGGTGGCTTTGCAAACCTGGTGCTGAACGCAAACCAAAATTGTTGAAGCGGAATCGATCATCTCCTCCACGTCCAACCCGTGCTCCTTTTCTCCATTGTTCTGGAATTCCATCAGCGCGCTCAGGATCCCATCGGCACATTGGAGCGTCGCCGAAAACGGGTTCCGTAGCTCATGCGAGAACACGTCTATAAAGTTCTCTTGCTGTCGTCTGCGTTCGACCGCTTGTGTGGACAGCTGCCGCTGGTACTCTTCGTTCAGCTTAATGCTTGTGATATCCGCGAGTGTTAGTATGTATCCCATCAATGTTTCCTCCCCGTCTGGGCCTCTGTTTGTCTGGGGAACGACAGAACAGGTGCACCAGTACTTCCAGCCTTGTGGGTTCGAAGGGTCGTAGCCGACTCGAGTCTCCCATTGCATGGACACGCGAGAGTTGACGACATCCCGGAAGTACTGATACACACGGGCGCGGTCCTCTTCGTAGATAGCTTCGCGCCATGCATCAGCGTCACTTCCCTTCGGTAGTGATGTGAGCTGGAAATAGCTATCGTTCCGGAAAAAGATCGACCCATCCGTACTTAGTAGCGCAAGGCCAACAGGGATCGTCTCTGCTATCTAAGTCTTGAGCGTCAGTATCTGGAAATACATATGGTAAAATTAAAACTGTTGGAAAATGCTATAGATGGATGTGCACCCACCCGGGTGAAAAGCAGCTCACTGTCTCTCAGTTCCGCTGTCCTTTTCTCCAACTTTTCCTGCAACTCTATGGCTTGTACCTTTGCAACACGCTCAGTCTCTTCACTTATAGCCTTTGCTATCTCCCCTTTTAGTAGCAAAACCCTTCCGGTCGTGGTCGCAAGCTCCTTCTTCAACATGCTGATCCACAATTTATAGTCCCCGTCGTAAGGTCTCCGTGGATTTAGGCCTAATATCAAAAACCCCTGTGTCGTCGTCTTTGTCGCCTGTATTGGAATGATTACCGCCGAGCTCGGCTTATCCCCAAAACCTCTGTACACGGCATTATCCATCTCCCTTATATCACTAAAGCCCAGATCCTTCAGTACAACGCCCGACATCTCCTTTGCCTCTCTCATCTGCTCTGAAAAATATCCGCGGTTGTCACCCAGGCTACACTCCCTAGGTGCAATATAACCACCCTCCGGGAGACCAGTGTTACCCACAAGCACACAGCTCACCTTCGAGGACGGGCAGAAGCCAGCAGGCGACTGGCCTTCAACCGCCCTATAGAGCAGCACAAAGGGTGAGTCCATATGATTGTCGTCAAACGCTTCGAGAACGAGGGTCCAGAAATCATCTTCATCCAAATCCTTCACAGCACCCAGAAGCTCCCCCATCCGCTGCAGAGTAGCCATACGTCTGGCCGACACAATCTGGCGGGTGTGCTCAAAAGCCTGCTCCAGGACACCCACTGGAGTCCCTTCTTCACCGACTACCGCGCAGACCGAAAAGTCAAAGTAGCATTCTTCAATAAGGTCCCCTCTATGGAGGCAAAACTGTTTTGCCTCTTTGACTGTCCCTTGGCCGCTGTGGTAGGCAGCGTCTAATAGTGGTAGAAAGTAATCTGCGAGTTCTGGCCATCCGCTGCGGAATGTTTTACCAAGCAGCTCTGGATCTTTATTTTGCGCTATCGTGCGCCATTGCTCGTTATATAATATGGTGTAGTCCGAGCCCCAGTAGAACGCAGTTGGATACGGCATAGTCATTATCGAAATCGCAACCAATCGGAGTACTGGCGACCATTCGCTGTAAGGGCCGTAGCTTGTTTTACTCCTGCATTTGTACGCTATCAATATCACCTATAGCAAACACGAGAGGACGGGAATAAGGTCATATACCAGTCTACTTGCCGCAAATTATAATAATGTTGAGAAGTCTGCATAGGCGATATGCCTCGTGTCCAATCCATAAAAGCGTTCGACTGCTGCGATATCTTGAATTTCGACTCCGGAGAAATCGACAACGCCCCAGACATTGGCCCACCAGCGATCAATTGGAAATCCTTAATATTTTTCTCCTCTCCCGGTATTCTCTTTTCATCCTCGCAATCTGAATCCTCTGGCGAGACTGTTATTTCCGTTATGGGCAATTGCTTTCCGTTCTCCTGGCCTTCGTAACCAGGCAAGTTTGAAGCTGCAGAACTATTACTCCTATGTCCATTCGTCATACTGGCCGCCGGTACGGGCGACATGCTCGCGATCTTTGCTTCTTCACCCCCACCCTTCTCCGGCTGTACCATTTTACACCCGTTCACCTCCTTCGCCCAGCGGTCGAGACCCCATTCCAGCACCGGTAAACTCTCCACGGTCACAACCATAATGGACCTCCTCTTGATGATGCCACTGCCCACAGGCACAGCCGTGAACCTCCACTTGCCCGAGGGAAATGATCCCCCGCCGCTGTTCAGGAAGCCTTCGGTCAGGACTGGGGACATGGCTAGTTCGCCCCGGCGCTCTATATCCCGTAGTGCGTCGTTGGCGAAGAGGACGGTACCAGGCTGCGCGGGGGTCGAGTACTCGGCAGGAATGGAAACTATGAAGGTGGGACGGGTATCAATCTTTAGGAAATCAAGAGCATAGGTGCCCAGCTGGGCGGAAAAACATTCGGAGGGCATGATGGCAATGGTGTTGGTGGTGTTGGTGGTGGTGGTGATGGTGGATGAGCGACACGGCGCTCGAGGGGTAGGAAGTGAATCTTGAGTATATCGTTATTTTCTAGTGTGGTAGAATATAGATTGGTATAAAACTTTTCAAGAAAAGATCCAAAGGAACAAGAACGCTTGGTATGTAGATGGTATGATGTGACTGTCACGGTAAGTACAGCACCTACATTTACCACTAGTAGTACCGTAGGGGAGGTTATGATGGTGAACACATGTTCTTAATACCCCCGCTAGAAGGCTAGAGCTTCAGCTTCTAGCGCGAGCCGGAGAACAAATCCGCCGGTGGCCATCGAGGGGAGGTCCAAGCTAGCTGCGCAAGTCCATTCTCTAATAATACCGGTACAACAAATACGGAGAGAGAGACTGTTGGGTGATGCTTTCTCCTTTTCCGTTATTTTTTCAACTCGCTTGTACAGCGGTACTATACACCTAACAGCACGTAGTAACAGTAACAGTAGTGGATTCTGCTCTGACGTCCCGTCTTTTTTTATTCGTTTTTATGCTTATCTCCAGCCCCCGGGCAGATCCGAGGCCTGGGAGAGTTACCTATATATGCACACTCCATGGGTTTATTGATCGAGCCTTGGCAGCTAGGTACATACACTTATGTGCGATCCATTCATGTCATCCCACCTCTGGTTTCTTCTAGTTTGAACTATTCGGTAAAGTAGAGTGCTGAATTGTCCCAGGATCTTGGATCTCGCATAAGCACCCCTGTCTCTTTGACTTGAACTGGGGGTGTAGGTACTCTAGGTAGGCAGAGTTCTCCAGAGAAGGCGGCAGGGGAATTAGAAGAGGTGGTGTCAACAGAGACAACACCAGCCCCATTGTCGGGATGATAGATCAGCTTGCACGGCTGCATTGAAAATCCTGGGAACTCCATCTGGGATCAAATTGCAGGGGTTGCTTCTGCTGACAAACGTCCGATATATGTAGGTATGTAGATTGGGTAATGACATGTACCTACAAAGGTACTACGTACACGTGGGTACGTACTTCACATTATTATTCAGATACCTTCACTCTAACTCAGGCTGTGTTAGGCATGCGACCCGTGGGACTTCCAAAAGGCTGAGCGGTGGTGTGAACTTCCTCTATCGACCCTCCACAGAAGGAATAGAGTAGGCTACTAGTTACATCATGAAATTTCACTGCAATTAGCCTTGCCCGGCAAAAACAAAGGACGAGGTTGAGAGCAGGTTTAAATTTACTTATGATTGTACAGACTCGGAGTTTACCTCACCAAATAAACATCAAGCTGTCTGTCCGTCTGAATAGGGTTAGATACACATCCGAGGAGCCGAACATGAGAAACCAATACTTGTTTACCACGAAAAAAACCAGAAAGTGCAGTTGCTCAGGGCAAGGATTATTTGTATGGAGTGGCAGTGATCTCTCATACAAACTATCCCTGTTTCCGTCGCTTGCATTTTCTGGTTCTTTTCGTGGTAAACGAGTACGTATTGTATGTACGCACCTAAGCTCCAACATAAACAAGTTGCTCCTCTTGATACCTTTTATAGCAGTAGTAGGATGCCGAGAGCACCAACTACATCATACATGTAAGCGCTACGGAACTTTGGGGAGGCGGTAATTAGAACCTGCATATTTGGGATCCTGTCGTCGCCCGAGTGCTCGGATCGGTCGTACTCCACTACATATGTATATGTAGGTACAAGTAGTTTCCGGCCTTCGGCCGGTACTATATGTGTATCAATCAGTCCAATATACAGGCAAGCCGCTTTACGGCTTATTTTCTCTATTTGCCTGGCAGGCAAAGTCCATCACTATATCTAGATCTGCTCTGGTTGATATTTGCCTTTTCTGATATCCCCCATATATCAGTGGATAGGTTAGACAATTTCTGCAGTTCAAGCTGCAAGTATATCCCTTTAATAGCCACCAAGCCGCTAAAATCGAACTACTAATCGACTCCCAGAACCAGTATATAGAAAACCTGTTAACAATCTAACACCACTCAGTACAACTAATACCCTATGTTAATATCTAACACAACATGTTTCAAGTGAAACAAAACCTCTCTCAATGAACTAATCAGAAGTCTATAAAGTACATTGCATATGCAGGTTATAATTATATACTTATTAGATGTATATGTATGTACTTTGCACCCGAGAATCTGAGACCACGTTAATCACAGAAATTAGATATAGAGTAAGTACTTTCCATATGTATGCAAGAGATCCCGGAGAGAGAAAAAAAACATAGCGTTGAGACAGAAGAAAGACACTTAATATCAAGCGGTACAAGCAAATAGCTAATGACTGGTCATGCACGATGTTGTGATTTGATGGTTATCACACATGAGGACAAAGCGGTGATGTACTGAGTAGAAGAATTCTAGAACACATGGGTGCGAATACTGGTATGTATCTACTCTAGCTTGATCTGCCGTATGTTAAGACCAGCTTGACATACATGGAAGTACGCAGCCAGCTTAATGGGCATATGTATAGAGTAGAGTACTACTTACATACATTCCCGTGTGACAACATTGCTGTTGATAAAACAACCTTTGATACTTCTGGGCGCTGTACTTCAGTCATGATCAACGCTAACACCATCCTCTAGTGCCTCGTTGTCCCAGCTGAGACAGAGATCACAGGATATCACTCCATGCAATGGCCGGCTTACTAAGTACTCTCAGACTATTAAATGTTTCCAGAAACGCACTACATGTAGTTAGCTGCTTAATACACAGATTCGAAGGAGGGTATTTGTCCTCCCGGGAGTTCCCGGGTGTTATTAAATAGACAGACTTTCTCTCGCTAGGTACCCCTTTCGAGACGAACTATTACGGCCCTCTTCGATCGATTGTGCTCGACCATCGACCGACTGTATATATATACTAGGCTGATCGGCTGATAGGTATTTATAAAACCTATTTTGTGGGGGAACCCCGCGTGCTCGGCCTCTTCCTAGTATACACAGATTATGGAGTTGAAATTAGCTATTACAGTCGCAACTCGACATGCCGGATTGCCAAGATTTGAAGGATTTCGTACGGGATAGCAAAAGATTTCGGGATAGCAAATTGATTTTGCAGTAAGAAACCCAAAACGCCAGAGGATTTCCTACGGGACAGCAAGAGATCCGGCGTATTGAGATCCGGCATATTGAGTTGCGACTGTAATTCATTCGTCTTAGATGCATGTATTGTTCGACAATAGCAGAGCCTACTAGTTTTCCAGTAGCGTTTTATCCCCCGGCGAACCTAATTCGCACTCCGAAAAACTATTTCACCCACAAGTCAGCGTTTGTGAACTCTCTTACCCCCTTTTGGTAATATCACTAACTTATTTTTGCAGCTACATACATTGATTTTTGCACGTCATTATGGACTGTGGAAACTGGCACAGACAAAGAGCTCTAATCTTAGCAGCAGACAGCTTGCGAATCCAGCATTCGCATTCCCATCATTTCAGCCTAGACAATCGTAGGTCCGCCCCCGACCCCCGGTACCATGACTGCCCCCCCGGCCCCCCACACATCCCAATTAATAATAAAACTATAGCCTATAGCTATATACCTAAAATTACGTACCAATAACTACGTCCTTCCGCCAAATAACCCCCGAAGATCATAGTTAGTATCAAATCCCGGGGAAAAATCCCAACCAATGAAACCCATTCGGATCCTTAGGACACCACTTATTCATACGTATAGTTGTCAACATATTACTATTTGAGAAGCCTTTTAAGCCATAGCGAGTCGAACCCTCACTCTGTGAGCTAATTTCACTCAAAGGTCACCTCCTATATATGACCCTTTCCTAGCACTACCAACTCACCAATGCAGCCAGATTTTTATATCGCTATTATAAAAAAAATTAATAAATTGAAGGGAAAAATGCGTAGACCAAATAAGAGGACTCAACTCCTAGAAGCCAAAGATCAACAAAGTGGATTTTCTCGATCCGCGTGACTACGAGTGATGACTTATGATTTAAATTCAAAACGGGCGCAGGCACCCTGAGTGCATTCCAAAAGGTCTAGATTGTAATATAGAAATTTAATCTTGATGCTAAAATAAACATTTCTAATTCATTGATCCATGAATCTAGATTGATTACATATATTATATAGGAAAATGAAACTCCTGTGACAGTTTTAATGTAACAAGTCACGGGCCCTCGGCCAGGTAATACAAATAAAAAACACATGTCTTATGATCGGATCAACTAGCGGTTCTTTTCAACTTCAGAGTCCACCAATTTGACAGCCTCTCAGCTATTCCACTCTTCGCCCACTAAGCAATTCTGTCAGCAATATGCACACAAGCAACCAATACATATATATAACTCGAGAACCACCGTACCTCATAGGCGACTACACTGCTGCCACTGCTATAAATAGCCATTCCTCGCAGTGTTATTTCATCAACTGGAATCTCCCGTCGCGCCAGTCCCATCGTCGGCATCACCTTCGAAACCACCATCCAGTACAGCACCCCGAATCCAAGGACACCAGTCCCAATTGCGGGAGCAGTCGTAGATGGGATACGCACCGGATCTGTAGACGGCCACCACCTTAAGATAATGACGAAAAGATTAAGAAGAATATAGAAACTAATGAGGGAGTAGAGTGTTTTCCGTCCTACTATGATGAAACTCCATTCGAGCTGGCCAACAGCGAGTACTACAAGACCGATTGAGACGAATATTCCAATCCAGGTATGGGCATAAGTCCAGAGGATACTGAGGAGATTGTATGCTTCATCGTCGCCACTATAGTTGGGAGCTTTAGAAGTGCGGTTAGCTCCCATGTACACACATGTGGGACTAACAAGGCCGGGATATCGAGAACTCACTAACAATAATCACGAGAACGCTGAAGATCCAATGCAGAGTCAGCGCACCAACAGGCGTACCGTAATATGGATGCTCTCTTTCCCAATACTTTGAGAAAGGGAGGATCCGCCGCTTTGCGATCTCCCGTTTTACTCTTGCAGTGGTATATGTATTTGCAACGACGTTTCCTAAAGCCGAGAACGCTATAAGAACCGGAAGTCCCCGAGTCACGAATGAACTATCCCCGAAAACCTAGCATCAAATATTGTTAATGAGTGAGGGGGCCGGGTATATAGATAGTTAGGGTCTCGGGCGCGTACCCTTTTGAAGAATTTTGCGGCAACTGAGATCCCCACTGTTTCCAACTCATCAGAGCCCAATGCTGAGAACTAGTTTTTAATGGCGTTAGTGATTACTCGGGACTGATCTTCAACCCTCAATGAATTGGGCTCATACATAAGCAACATTTGCCAGCACGTAAAGCACAGTGACCAAGGTGAAAGAAAACAGCGCCGCCCTTTTGAATGTCTTAGCCACATTCCCCCCAGGTCGCTTCACTTCCGCTAGGACGTAATTCGCATTTTCCCAGCCTTCGTAAGCAAATAGCACGCTCAACATCGCACTCGCATAAGAATAAGGGTTCCGGCTCGGGTCCTTGAACGCGTCCACAAGGTTTTCGTGACCATAAGGTGTTCCATCTTCCGAATTATCTCGTCCTCCTCCTGCTAGACACACGAAACCAGTAACTACAACAAAGAGCAGCAGCGTAATTTTATAGGCGGCCAAGGCGTTGCTCACGAAGATTCCCATCTCGCGGGAAAATAAATGCAACAGGCAAACGAAGGTGATGCAGACAAGGGCTATGAATTGTTGCAGGCGGAAATCGGGGTTTGTATCATGATCTCCATTGAATGCTATAAGCATACCTTTTGCAAATGCAATTGTGTTGGCGGCGTTATTACAGAGGAGAACAAAAAAGATGGAAAATACGACGCTGAAAAAATAACGAATGTTGGGGTAGCATCGTTCGAGCTATCGAGGAGCTATTAGCTTTGAAATTGATTGCCCCAATAACGGTGGTGTTTTATACGTAAACTAATTCGCCGCCGTTTTCGGGGTATCTGATACCTAACTCGAGGTACAGTAGAAGACTAATATATTTGAATAAAAGCCATTAGTATTATAAATCAAAGAAAGAGGCCTTAGAGACTTAGTATCTCAGTGTAAAACTAACCCACTAAGCGTCATCATTCCTCCGGCAACCCAAAGGAACAGCGCTCCACCCTTTGAGTTCGTCTTCTTCAATATATCCGACGGCTTTGAAAATATGCCTGTCCCTATCATTCTATTAATGATTAGAGACGACGTGGATATGTAACCCAGCATCCGCTTTTCAGGCCTTGGTCTTAGTATATCGGTATTGGGTGCATTCTCATCGACACTGCTCCCAACCCGCGGAGGAGCGTGTGACCTGATTGGTGTGATGACTGAATCCACAAGATTATCGCCCAGTTCAACCCGACCTACTGGTGTTGGTGGTGGTGGTGTTCTCTGTTCGTAGACAGAGGGGAAATCTCTATCATGTTGAGATGGAGGTGGGACGGCAAACGACATCCTCAGAAGGTATCAATAAGCTAGCTACTGTCACTTAGGATGATGATGTTTGATGGGCTTCGTTTATTGCAGGTCAGCAGTGTGGCATTGGGGTTTTTGTAAGAAATTAAGCCTTGATACACATACAAGAAAATTCGGAGCAGAGACTCATATTAGCCATGCATATATCAGCACAGCTCATTAGATTGGTATGATTTAAAGTACGTACCGCGCGCCCTATTTACAGCCTTAGATAAAGTAAAATAATTGTCTATGTATAGGCCAAGCTGAGTTCGTACGAAGCCTCGATGATCAAAGCGCCCCAACCCCGCCAGTATTTCCTTCAACGACATCCAACCAGATTTCTCTGTGTGGTCGATTCGCACTAGATTAAGGCTTCGTGAATATTTTGAATGAGTGATTCTTATCCATGTCCGGTACACATAACCTCATACCCACTACGCTCAACTGTCCAGTCTCGGGCTAGACGGGACTGAATCGTGCAGTCTACTTACCTTGCACTAGTCCACAGTCTGCCTGCAGTCTGACTATGGATTGCATGATTGACCCTCGGGGCTGGATTGGGGCGTTACCTAAGTCGCGTTCTTGCTAGGTTGAGGCGGCCTCAACCTGGAGCTCATAGACAATATGTATCATCACAGTCAAAGAGAACTAAATTAATACCAGAATAGTTCTATATTATATTCTTTCACCTTCATGAGGATGGAAATCTATTTAATTACCATAAACATCATAATAAACAATACCACTAAACTCTTTTAGGCGATATGCAGTCCATAGTCCTTGCAATCCGTCCTCCCTTTGGACGGACTGGCTTGGCTGGAAAACCGCAGTCCACTACAGTCCATGCAGTCCGTCCTGACCGTCCACCGTCCTGGCTTGGCATAGTCGACCACAATTGACTACAGTCAAACTAGACGATTGGCGGCGTTGCTCATACCTAGCTAGCATAAGAATTTTTGAGGCCTGTTTCCATCGAGCTTCCTACACATCGTCTTAGGAAAAACCCGTCATGCAGCCAAGAAACGTTCGTATTCCAATTGAATGAGACCTAATTAGCTTCTTAGCGAGGCTGTGTAACACGAACTTATCTGTGTACAACGTGGGGTTTCACGAACCTTCTCTGAATATCGGAACTTCCCAAGCCTTGAGTATGTACCTACATGTACGTATGTACACCTCTATATGTAGGGTACAATTCTCATCTGCCACGAATAACGATTAACTATCACCGCCTCTTAGTATAGTCTATTAAATAAAATATATAAAGTTAATATCAACCTCAAACTCTAGCTAGACCTCAATGTAGAGCCACTGCTGCCTTGTTGATGCTGATTTAGTACATATGTGATAAAGCTGTAGCCTTGTTTGATCATACGACGAATTCTGATCTATTGATATAGGTATTTACTTTTTTTCTCCTGATAGGCCTAGGTTGAAGCAGTTGAATTCCCGGGTAACTGATGAATATTTAGAATTATTTGATTCGATAATTCTGCAGCACGCAAATATGGTGTATAGGCCTACACCGAGTCCTTATTCAAGTACCTATTAGGACTGGGAAAAGACGCCCACAGACAGCCACATCCTAATCGGCGAACGTAATGCATTCTGACGGTTTTTGTCGACACCCCTCCATAAGTTAATTTCCGTAAAGAACTGTTATCGTGATCTCATCGAGTGTAATCGATCCAATAGAGAGTCCTGCAGTATGAGCAGGTAGCACTGTATATATCCGAGAGAGACGTGCACGTGGAAAGATGGCAGGAGCCAACCATCTGGAAAATCTGTTCGCAAGCTGTAGGTATATATTGGGGGCATGGATCAGTTTCCCACAGGCCAAAATCTAGCATGGCAAAGTTATGTAAGTACTTTGAAATCGATCCTGGATAGCAATTTCTCCAGTAGATTGGGGTCCGGCATCGTTGGGACCATACTGATCATGTATGTGATATCATAGAGAGCCAGGTTTGTTGTGGCTGAGCCTTTCCGTGTACTAAATGTAGTACGTAGGTACATATACGTACATTATCAGTGTTTATTCGAAGGCAAACCCAAGCTATAGGATCGGGACAGAAACTGACCTAGGCACATACGTAATATGTGAGCCTGAAGGAGTTATTTGAGTAGCCACTTAGAAGGCTCATTCTCAGTCCCCGCGGTTCGGTGCGAAGCGACTAAAGGTAGTAGTGGATGATAAGGAGCCTAAGACGTAAGTAGACCATATGTGCGATATGACTTTTTGTCCGATAGATAGAGTAGAGTACCAGCATATGCGTGGCATTGCAAGGCTAAAGACCTAGAAGATCACAAACACACATTTATAAATTTAATTACCCTGTACCTCTAGCCCTTAACCCCAACGTCGGACGTCCATCTCACATAGTGAAATAATCAAGGTAAATGTAATGTTAGTTTGTACGTCTGCTATTGGTTCGTTTGAAGGTGATCAATCAAGACTGTCTGATCACCCACACGTCGCCAGGCTTCATTAACACTGCTAGCTTCGGCCAGGCGTAACTTGTATATACATACATACCATCTGAATCGATACCTAAGATTTCTTACCGAAGTTGTTCCTTCTGCGCTCCTATGTCCTCTAGCTTTCATGAAGATCTTGGCCTAGGCCTCACTGAGCACCTTCCTGCCCTGACTCTTCTTACCAAAATCCAAAAAACCTACTTCTATTCCGTAATATATGCCCCAACATTATATCTCATACTCGGTAATGAGCTTTCTTCTCTTAGCAACTTAATCCAGGATGTCGTTGCCGAATCTCTTGAAGGGCGATTTTCTATGTCCACCATCTTCCGCGATGACAACAAGCGTGCTGCACAGAGGGCTGTTCAGCTGGTATTCAACGGGATGGATTATAGCCTAGAGGGACTTGAAGGAACCTTACGAGGATTAAAGGCGGACAGATGCGCATCTGAAGAGGCATGGAGGTTATGGGGTAAGGAGGTGAGGGATAATGGGGGGGAGGCAGGTTTGCTAAGGGCGCTGAAGGCGGTGAAATATCATAATTGGGTAATTTCAGTAGTGATTAAGAGAGCTCTTAAAAGGTTAGTTTTCTCTCTGTCTGTGAACAACTAGTACTTGTAGTGGTAGATGCCGGTAGGAGCACTCAAGTGTTAATGAGACAGATATATAGAAACGAAATAGAGGCACTCCATGAGACCGCCCCTCTAACCCGAGAATATCTCTACAAGCTCTTCACCGAGCTTCTCTCATCCACAGGTGCCAACAGATTCCCCTACAAATTAATCGCCAAATTCATGACGAGTGCGTCGGCCTCCCTCTCTGGCCAAGTCTTCCCAACGGAGGTATCTATAGAAAAGGTACTTAAGATCTCGATGTATTGGACATTTAAGGCTGCATCGAGCATAAGAGACCACACACGCAGCTCGAAAACTCTCTCGGGTGAAGATGCTATTGCCCTTTCCAAGGCGTTTTGGGTTTTTGAAATGTGTAGAGACTATGTAGGCGCGGATATTAAAGAATTTGAGGCGGTTATGGCAATTATTGCGAATGTATGTATGATGAAAACACATCCTTTGACTCCTTTAAACATTTTGTTCTGATTCTCGCCGGCCTGGATTATAGGAGCTTGCATTTGCCGCGAAGGCACTTCTTGAGTCAGAAATTGGCTTCCCACCTTTCGAGTTACTCCCCGAAACTGGCGACTTTCAAATATGGCTGAGCGAAGAAGAATATATAGTTGACGCCGAGGCCGAGATGGTCAGCCATCCTCAACCACCAGAAACGCCTGTTCAAGAATCATCACCCTCTTTTGAGAATGGGGTATCGATGAGTGATACCGTAGCGCATCCAAATACATATAATACCTATGAAGCGCATGATGACTTGTCTCAGTCAAGTGGAAGTAGCCACAATTATGCCGAGTCTGGTATCGACTGCAGAGATAATAACAACAATGCACCCGGGCAGTGGAGACAAGAGGCATCACCTAAATCACCGGAGTCAATATCAAGCTTGCGACGCAGTCAAAGCCATAGTCGACCCGGGACTTTGAATGGAAACTCTTCACCCTCGCTTCATGGGTTCAATAGGCATTCCATAGCGTCGGAACATGTACGGGAAACTAAACCACTTTTGCCTGATCAAAGGCGAGGCAATACACCTGTTCTTCGTAAACAGGTTAACTACCAGAAGCCCAACGAAAGATCTGCTTCAAACTCGGAATTTCTTCCAGAAGCAGTGATGGCAGCAATACCACATTATGGGGCGAGGACGGAAGAGGAAGAGATCATGAACAGGCGTTTGTTGGCATCAAAATCTTACACATTGCAAGACGCAAGGTGGGACGAATGTGTGGTGAGAGTCTTTAGGGCGAGAGGTACTGGAGAGTTGAGGGTATTGACCCTGTGGGACGACAAGCAGGCGGGGACTCTATTTAGTATGTATACCTTTATACATGTGTTGAGAGCGAAATTTTGACTATTGTTGCGCGAACAGTTAATCCAGAAGAGGCTGAATTAGTGCCAGAATACGGCTATCATATGCAGACAAATATTCCGGTAATTTTTATGCGAAAGACGACGGAATGGGGGTCCTCCCTCCAGCTGGGAAAACAGACAAAATCTATAAGAAACAGGGCGACGCCGAACAGAGAGAATACGTATTTTAAATTTACGAACATCGAAGGTGCGTAAGATGTCTAGCGGTCCAGATTTCTGCACCCAAGAAGGACCGCTGCATGACATGCTAACCTCTCCAGATATGTTCTATTTCCAGTGTGCCTTCCTTGGCGAGACCGTTCTCGCTGATATTCGAACCGTTAGTGCTGTCCGCTACAACAAATATGGTATTTTTGAGGGTACGACAAGCACAAACTTTTGTCGCGTGCAAATCTGGAGAGAAGTAGAATGCAGCAACCTGATGCGTTCCAGTACTTCATCGCCTGATGGATCCTCAATGGCAAATTACAAAGGAAGGTTGAAAGGATGGATGTTGAGACCAAAGTCGTCAAGGATCGTGGTATTTTTGGGCCGTGAGCTACTGAGTGTTTTTAGTGCGTACCTTATCATATACGGATATATGAGTATTGACTAACAGAGGCTAGTAACGGATGATATAACGATTGATGAGAGTAGTGCCAACAGTCTTACGGTAAAGATAAAACCAATATCATATGGAACATTTGGAGGGCGAAAATACGTTAAGGCACGCATAGCTGGTAACCGAGATCTTCCCGGTGGTATCAGACTTGATAGATGGGGGATGTTGATTGAGGACGAAGACGAATTTGATGATTTGAAGTGGCTTGAAATTGAGTTCGAATCATCCACTGGTATTTAATACGCCACGATCTCCTATGATGAATAGTTCTAACAGCGGGTAGGAATGAAGGTGTTTACGGATAATTTTAAGAGAGAGTTGCAGATAAGGCGGAAAGAAAGGATGGAAGTTGATGAATTGAAGAAAAAAGCGGCGAGTAATGTCAGGAGTTTAGGAAACGGCTCGTAGTGTACTCCACCGTGACCTGGTTTCTTTCTGGTTATGTTGTTTTGCATGGCGTGATGGAGTCATTTTTTGTTTTGTTTTGGTGGTCATTGGAGTCGTTTATTTAATTAATCCTGTACAGTGGTAGATGGAACGCCGCCATTTTGAGTGGTCGGTAATCATGTAAGATCACTCGGTTTAATGAAGCGGTGCACTGCATCCAATATACACGTGGTGTGAAGCAGAGCTAGAAAAAAATAAAATAGAGAACGCATGACTTAAGTACGGGAGAGAAAGGGTAGCTATAATACTGGTAGTACAAGTACCTAAATCCTGAGAAGAGCTGGTCCTGGTAGTGCTAGCTGACCATGGAGGGGAGGATTGGAGACGGCTTGGCACAGGATTAGGAGATTAAGGATGTGTGGCCTTAGCCACGAACCAGTAGTCACGGTGCCAAGCCGTCCCCATCTTACAATCAATCTGAAGGATGTTGTGGAAACCATACTAGTCAACGAGCTCGAGCAGGTATTCTCGGATAGGAGCCTCGCTAAAATTGCTGAGAACAGACTAACGGTGTGATTGGATTTCTATTGTCTCACTTTACGAGGGCGCTGTTGCAAGATTGAATCATGTAATATCACTCGACCAACCAGGCTTCGGTAATTAGTGTCCATACAAAAGTGAATTTCCCCTGGCTATTGGGAGGTCTCTCAAAATGAAGTGTATCAAGCTTTACCGGGATTGAAACAAGGATAGAGAGCCTAGCTGTTTTAGGGAAAGACTTGGATCTAATTCGAGGTTGGTTGGGGGAGTCGCTGGAAGAAATCATACATAGGATCCACCATAGTCATTCTTTTCGTAAATGGGTATGTAGCGAGTTTAAGCTATTTACTGCTCTTACCACCGTTTTCGCCCACAAAATTAATCCCTTAACATTCCAGCACCAGGCATCGATTATCATAGTGAACATTAGTTGTTATTCATCTGGTAGTGAGTTATTCATCTGGTAGAGAGGTTGTTATTCTGATGTGGCGATTCCCCTATCTGTTTCACACTCACATGGAGGCACTATACACAGACAAAACATTTTCCTCAATGAATGTGTTCGGGATTTTCTTGGTGACAAAATCAACTCCCAAAACTAAATATAATATCACAACAGAGCGCCTTCATATCCGATATCCAAAAAAATACCCCAACTAGTAAACAATGGAGAGAGATAAGAAAGCTTTAGTCTAAACAAGAGCAATCAAAATCCACTAGCTCATCCATGCCATTAGTGTTTAGTTTAGTTGTTCTTCTTCTTTCCTGAAGATGCCGGTGCCTCCTTCTTCTGCGCAACCAGTACGACAGCGGGCCAATGCTCCTTCGATGTCAAATCTTCCGATCGGCCCCATTCGAGGTTGCCAAGAACTGGCATTTCTAGCTCGTCATCCGCCTATTCACACTACGTTAATATAGGACTCAATAGTAAGGAGAAAGTGGGGAAGTGGGGGGGATAGTGTACCTTCTTCTTGAACTGCTTATGGATTGCGGCCAGCACATCATAAACACTAACGCCAAGGGCGGAGGCGGCACTCGCACGGGCAGTTACGTGCAAGCCCATGGGGAAGTAGACATCTAATAGCTTGACTTTGGGGCTAGAAATAGGAATTTGCTTGAGTTGTTTCCAGTCGTCTAGGTGAGAGGGGTGGGTATTTATTTTCCTTTGTATTTTATTAGTCTGACATTCATGGGTAGAATATTGGATGAAGGGAAAAATACCAGTTTAGTTTAGAGATTTCTTTTGCTAGTTTCAATTCTCCTTCTGCACCGATAAGTTCCTCTGTAGATTGGTTGGCTGTATTAGTCTCGTGGCAAACTACTCATACAATAAGGTGTTTGGAAGTAGACATACTCAAATCAGCAGGCTTATATACATCCGTTACAGATGAACTGCCTCGACGATGACCCTTTGCTTTTGGCGAAGTGGGCATTTCGGCCTCGGTTTGAGCTGGCGGGATAGCTGATTCGGTGGAGGCCATAACTATTTCTTTGATCAAAAAAAATGTTGCTACGAGATGTAGATGTTGGAATGCAATGAAATGGATGGATGTGAAAGAGAATGAGGAATTAGAAAAAAAGGGTGGGAGGAGAAGGGGGTAAGTAAGTAAATAGAGGTCGCGATTGATACCCGTCTTCCGAGAGGATGGAGGTCTGCCCACTCTCTCTCCCACGCCATTCATGATGAAGCTGCTACTATTGTACATCTGCAGTGAATAACATGTTATGATAATTATGATAATATACCGCATCCGGCCTAGCGCGGGGCATCGCTCCACATCCAGTTTCCACACACCACCCAGTGGCACCCACACACCAGTGACACCACCGCCCAGAGAGCACACCACCTTCACAACCCTGGTCGTGTGACAAAATGCGGGGTAAAAGGCGCTAAAACCCCCAAGCTCGACTCTGGGCGCCGCAACCCGCCTTTCTGGAACGGAATGTCATGAGTGACCGGTACGCTAGCCTGTGTACAGTAGAGCACTGCTGCACTGGGGCGAACTGACTGCCTAGACAACTTTGAGCACCCACAAAGTCTATCGATCGCTAGTAAGTGAAACCTGGAGCCGCTGAGTACAGACTGGGAAAAGAAACGGTTTGTGTGGGGAAGAAGAAGACAGAGGAGGAGCCATCTGTGTAACGTCATGGGACCGGAATTGGTAAATTTAGCGGCAATTGAAAGCGACTACCACCCACCACCTCCATCATCACCTTGAGGGAGCTCACCCCAGGAACGCGTGTTGTCGTAACCACACCACCTACGACCACCACCCCCAACTCAGGCTGTTAAGTTTCAAAGAGAACAGTTCTCTTAACAGCTCTGTTAGAAGGTCATAACTACTCTACGATTACAAAGGAATTCTACTCCTAAGAGTAGTTAGTGTGTGCACTTTATGGGTGAGATTCGTAGAGCCAAAATCAAAATAATGGTGCCCTCGTGAGCTAGTACTTTACTTAGGTAAGGCTGAATTCCTTGACTGCTGCAGCAGCAGCTCTATCTGTGGATGATGATGTCGCGATCGTCAGTTAATCAGCCAAATTCCAGCCATCCATACGGCCCCGTCCGTATTTCTCACCGCGGCATGTTGCTCTCTGTCCTTCATCTTTGAAGTTGTGAACCCCATGCCCAGCAAGCCATCTTGCCAAACTGTTGCTCATGACGCTGCTGCAGCCATTGACAATCATAGGAAAGCCTCCGAGATGTCCTCAATCGGAGTTTTGACCGAAATCTATCAGCAGCAGGCTTCATAAAGAAAGGACCGTGCCCGGTTTGTATTTACTTGGACTCGCATTTGGGTCTTAAATAACTTTCAGTTACGGGAGCTTTAATGTGTTCAAGACCTTAGGTGCCAATGCTAGTTAATAATAAACTTGGCAAATTATACCTTTGAAACTGCCTGTAACGGCAACTCGCTAAAGGGGATGTCTCCACGAACTCAAGCTCCAGTAGCTAAAGTACACATTTGAGGAGGGTGTGCATGTGCTAGAATGCCATTACGCAACTTATATGTCTTGAGACGATCACACAACCTTCGAGAGAGTCCACACCATCTCACCCTCATCATGGAGTGGTGTGATTTTGCTTGAGTAGTATGATCAGGTTTTGCAACTGTTACAGACCTCCCCTTTGTTGGGATATATATTTGTGCTTTGTTTCCTTTGAATTGTAGACTTCCAGCGAAATTTGATTGCCCGCGCTCATTTAATTTCTCGTTTTACTTGCTGTTTCCTTATGCGTGTTTTTCCTTTTTTCCTACTCATCCTAAACATCGAGTTCCACGGATAGTTCATCTCGGTCATTTCAATCCTTACCTACATACTTCGAACAGCCCCAATACCTTGTCGGACAACTGATCTTCCAGCACACTTCGAATTTCTGTTTACAAAATTAGTTTACTAACTTTTTGTGCCCGCTTTTGTTAAACTGACCTTGATTTAGGCACACATCATCCATAACATTCACTTAGATAATAACCCACTCGGAATTCCCCGACTGTAATCTCATGACCGCACCCGATTCGAAATAACCAAAGACCTTGTTGAAATTCAATTACCCATGATAAGCCGGCTCAGTACATGACCGCAAGCTCACAATCGCTCTCTATAATTCGAATCCTTCCCCTTCAACTGTTTGAGACCTACATCTGAACACCCCGGTCAAACCGTACCTCTATACACCTTCGTCGCCCCCCCCCCCAATTCGCTACTTATTTCCCAAGCCTATTTAGGTCAACATAGAGCCATCTGACAATCCAACCCTCTACCCCGCCAAGTCCTACCATACCTCTTCTACTGGTCCAATTGTCCACAACCACACATCCGCATGCCCCAAGAGAGCCAAATTTCCTTTCTTGCTTCCGTTTCTCCAATGCTGTATAACCTTTCTCGCAACGGCCGTTCCGCATCCTCTCGCCCTCCACTCTCTCTCAACCCACCAGGTGGCTAGTGACCCGTCGAAACCAATAAATGCCCAGGCAATAGGAATTCTCATATCTCCAGTGACCTTAAATAATGCAGCATTCTTCAGCAATAATAAAGTATCTTTGTGACGCCTAATCGAAGATGTAGCTATAACACGGCCCATATCCTCCGGTCTCAATTCACCAAACTCGAGTCCATCAATTTGTGAAGGTGGTGGAGAATGATGAAAAAGGTATTTCATAAACTCTTGAGAGAGTCTGACACCTCCAACAGTACATATATCTTGGACCACCACGAGTAACGAGTAGTTTAAGCTCGCTATTACAAGTAATCCTTCCTCATCTCTATCCTGAGTAGGCTCAGGCTGACAGGACTTGATATATAAGATAGCATATCACGCATCTGCGTCTTGGCAACTTTAAGCTCCAGCTCGCCAGCAGAGCAAAAGAACCACGCTTGCGATTCCTACGACGGGATTGATCAATGTAGGCTGCCGTGAACAACCCGTAAGGACCAGAAGAGACCAGAAGATGACTCCGGAAACGTAGCCAAGATCAGGGACGATGAACGTTTTGTGGGTTTTCGAGGCGCCTCAGCAAGGGTAGTTGAATATGGGAGTTGGGATAGAGATGGGGGTGATGGTTGAAGCTTTGTGTTGGTAAATCATTGTAAGCCCTCTGTGAACTGGTGTTAAATGTCTAAGATATATATATATCGATACTGATTTTCAATGTTATCGATGTTATTACAGGGATTGGTCGGTCGATGTTATCGGAATAGGAAGTTGTTATGGATTGAGTTTAGTCGATTTGGTGATAAGGTCTAGGGTGCTTTTCGGTATTTCTTTTATCCTATTGGGCGTTTGATTTTTTTTCTCTTTCAATTTCTTTTTCGCTTTTTGATTAGGAGAGGATTTCTGTCTTGTGTACGTTTCTCAATCTTATCCACGGACGGGGAGTCACAAACCCCGCCCGGGTTAAGTTCTTCCGCGATCTTTCAGTGTGCGGTAGTATGTTATGCTTCAGTCGAAGCGAAATACAACTAAGATTGACTCATCTTACATATTTCTTTACATCTCTTCACATTTTTTCACTGGAAGTGTTGAAGTTTCTAGCTCCAAACTAGTAAATGCGTCGTTAATCTTAAACGATATAATTCTTTGGTTGAAAATTGCAAATGTAGACCAATCGACTTTGACTCAGATGAAATTGTCCTTACTGGCGTGTGCTGCTCTTAAAACATACGGTTCAAATTGCATGTAGTGAACGGTTATAGATCAGAGGACATCTTTGTATAATAGAGAGTCGACGTGAGGTTAAGTCGATGAGAATTGTACGGTTCACTTTTGTGTTAGACTGACATGGAACTCGGCTACTGATCGGAGCGAAAAAGCTTAAGCTTAAATCCTAGCTAGAAATCTCAATAGTATAATGCTGAAACCCATAACATTTACTAACGAGACATCCCCCGACACCCGACACCCGCTAAAAGAGAAACACAGCAACACTAACTACGATAAAAACAAAAAGCCTCCAAATAACCACCGGGACATTATAACGAATACCACAAACAAACTCATAAAGACTAAGCTGTCTTTCTTGTGCTATCCCCAACAATAACCTGCGGGGCACTTGAGGAACCCTCAATACCACCGCCCTCAACGCCGTCCAAAAGTTCGGCAGCAGCAGCGGAAGCTTCAGCTTCTAGCCTCACTTCACGTCCGCGTTTATAGCAATACCATAATACGAACAGTACGACTGGCACACAGTCAGCCATGATCTCACCAACGAAAGAACCAATTGAAGAGACTTACCAAACAAGCCCATACTCATTGCCAAACTCGTTCCTCCCAATGCCGCTGGAAATCTCAATTTCAAGAAATTCATCACACTCTTCAACATACCCATCAGCAACCCTGGTTTCGTGACTAGCTCCTTCAACGTAAACATCCCTCCCAAAGCCTCCGCTTCTGCTGCGGCTGCAGGGGAAACTGCAGCTGCCGTACGTAGCAATTCGGGTGCCATCTTAGCTTGCATTTTCTTCGGGAGTGTTTTTATGATCTTTTGAAGAAAGGATGGAAGAGTGCTGAAGGTATCTTCAAACGTTTTAGACGAGTTGTCAAAGAGATCGATGAGGTCTTGGTAGGCAGTTGGGGCTCCATTGGAAATATCTTTGAGGATTAAGATGAATTTGTCGAGAAGGATTTTTGTCTCTGTAGACATGGAGAATACACGGCCCTGCAATTAAAGTTAGTGAATTGCGACAGATGTTTTGAGGTATATCGGAATATAGACGTTTTCAGCAGCAAGATTGAGGCCTTCAAGTGCAGCTGTAAGCTCGTCTTCCTCTCGAACTAAATCCTCGTTAATCGTGTTTCTAGTTGAAAAACCGAATTTCTGCAGTATCTTACCTCCCTCCGCTACTGGTTTTTCCACTTTTAATGTCTCTGGCTCTTTGCCCTTTCCTTTCACATCTACTGGAGTCTTTCCTTTCTTCCTCCTCTCAGCCGCGCTAGATACAGCCCTCCTCAACTCTCCGAACCGGTTTTTAAGACCTACTGCCGACCACTCCCCAGTCGTCGTCGCCGATCTACCCTCTATAGGCGTAGGCGCAGGAGTAGCGGGCGGTAGAGGGCTTGCTCCGGGGGTGGTAGAGCCTGAGTCTCCCCCGCCAGACAATATCACCACAGGTTCATCAGCACCTTCAAGTTGCTGTCTGAGGAAAGCCTCATCGCTGTTAGAAAGAACTTCTTGTGGACCAGCAGGGACCGTTTCGGCTGCTGTACTGGTTGAGGCCGTGGCAGAGGCTGCAGCTTCCTTGTGAGCTTTAATCTTTTTCCAGGTGAAATATTCGAGCATTTTGTTGATACTCAGAAGGGTAGGTTGTTGAGAGGGATCGTGAAAGGGATCGCCTCTTTATCTATCTGCTCAAACGCTTGGTGGTGATGTTTAGCTTAGAATCAGTGCTACGTCATAGCACGCCACAGAATGCTCCGCCACCATCGGCGGGCACTTAGTGCTTCGCCACCTTCTCTTCATTGGTTGTCACTCGGGCTGAGATCAAGACCAAAGGGAATTTCAACTCTGTTCAAGGCTACAAGTTTCGGTATAAACGCTTAGGTCTAGACGGCTTTCAGAGCCGCTCCGTGATAAAGGCGAGGCTCGGGAAGTATCAGGGAGGCTACCTGCGATGGTCAAGCATCAGCAGAGGAACAAAGAGTAGCAAAACGCAAAACCCAATACTTTATACCAAAGAAACACCGTTTCTATGAGGGGCTCCTCAACTAGACACAGGTATAACCTCATACAAGCAGGTGCGATAATAATTATGACCATTCCCTTTCCGTGATGGGGAACCTCATTCTACTATAATCGAAAGTTTTGATTATAACGCTGACATAAATTATTAGTTTGAGTCTGACGCCGAAAAGGAAATACAGCTGTCTCGAAGTTCTCACTATATTCTTACATTACCAACAATATATTCTTACATTACCAACAAGCATTAACACATTCAGGTAATCGAGTGATATCCTATGATTTCAAAACCATTGATTGATTGATTGATAATTCATTAATTATGATTTCAAGACCAATATATACTGTCAAAATCAGTTCTTATTAATATCTCTATTAAAAGTGGGTAGAATCACAGAAAGCTCCGGAAATATAAGTATCTCTACATCACTTTGTGAACCGCTGACTCAATCATAGTATTTAAACCTCTGCACCCTAACTACATGTGCCCCCGCGCCCCTCGAGTGTCTGAACTCGTTCAAGAATATAACTACTTATTTAGCAAGGATTACCCGAGACACCGGAGCTAGTTCTGGTTATATAATACTTTTTAAGTCGTCTTTATGACCCAATTATTCTATCTCTTGATCTCGAGAGTATTCTCGATCTCGAGGTTCTCCTAAATACATGTATTTATCAAGAGCACGGGATGAATTCTCTTTCTGGCATATTGTCCTTCACATACATAAAAAGGGCTAGTTCTGTCCATGAGAACGAGTATCCTCGTGTCCTTGCCTCGGGGACATGTCCTCGATGACACACAAGGACAGTGAGGAACCTCAGGGACAGTACCTAGCTGTCCTTGCCTTGGGGACTTCCAAGGAAATTCTTGGCTATAATACACACTGGATGGTATCGTCCTCGAGGCGCCTCGAGGACACCCCCAACCTCGCCTCGAGCGTGCTCGTGGACCATACTGAAAAGGGCTCTGGCTCTGATACCGAACTCGCAGGCTAAATTTTGCTAGTATGGTAATGGTCTGTTATATAGGCCTGCGTAGTAAAGGTTTGTAATCTCCATTTCTAATTCGAAAATCTGGGACGGATTCCTAATAACGGTGGCAAATGGGTGTCCAGCCTATAACCAAAGGTAGACTGCTAACCGGTGATATATCATTCATAGCTATCGGGATATTCGTTCAAGTAGCTTTCAAAGTCGGCATGCATCTTGTGAAGATCGGGACAGGAAACTCCACGATATATGGTATGGCCTAGGCGGTTCTTTGAAGTATGACATATCTAATCAAGAAGTTCAACCCGACTCCTCATACATATCGCTATATCACTAACTTATCACATTACACCTTAAAATGTTAGTAACTATGCAGTGAATGGGAGGGTATGATTATAGAAGACCGCGTGGCAGCATTATCGATTACAACTAAGGATATCTAATAAATTAAATTAATACCCGTTACTAATAAAACCTTCTTGCAGAACTTGAACCCTATCGATAAAGCCATTCGCTCCACATGCGGGGGCCGAAGCCGCAATAGGATCATTCTGCGCAAAGACCTTACTACGAGGAGGGAATGGCAATGATAAATTGTGATACAAGGTTAATATATGAGTCTACTCAAGGCGATCGAAGGTGGATACCTTGGAGAGTCTCTGGATTATAAAGGGATGCACCTTACCTTAATCTAGAAAAGAAAAACACTAACTACTTGGGCGACAGCTTGAGACTTACTTATGAAGCCCAACTAAGAGCGGTTTCCCTGATTTTTCCTGTAATCCAAAATCGGATTCCGTCCATTATCAGAATTCTCCTTACTAGTGCCGGAACATGCTCTGTGAGATACCGGTTTAAGGTATATGGGATTGAAAGTTTAATGATACATCTTATAAGTATATAATTATAACCTGCATATGCAATGTGCTTTTATAGTCTTCTGATTGGTTCATTGAGAGATGTTTTTGTTTCACTTGAAACATGTTGTGTTGGATATTAACATAGGGTATTGTGCTGAGTGGTGTTAGAGTGTTAATGGGGTTTCTACTGGTTCTGGGAATCGATAGTGGCTCGATTTTAGCGGTTTGGTAGCTGTTAAAGGGATATACCTGTAGTTTTAACTAGAGAAATTATCTAACTTATCCGTTGATATATAGGGATAATATATCAGAAAAGTCACATATTGACCAGATCAGATCTAGATATAGTGATGGCCTTTGCCTGCCAGGCAAATAGAGAAAATAAGCCGCAAAGCGGCTTGCCTGTATATTGGACTGATTGATACACATATAGTACCGGCCGAAGGCCGGAAACTACTTGTACTAATATATGATTATATAAGACTGAAAAGAGACGTATCTCGTTGCCCCCTTACTTCAAGGTGTTACTTCGAAATTGAGTGGAAATCTAGTGGTGAATGCAGCCTTGTAGGTCTTTGGCATGAATATTATTGTTAGTTCCCGGTTTAGTTGTAACTCTGAGTCCGGCCGCGGTGTTGAGGTAGTACATACGCTCTATAGATCTAATGATAATACCTCTGCCCTGTCTTGACAAACTTTAAGAGAGCTCCACTCATTGATACTATAATCTTTTGGTTACAGAAAAAAGAAATGAAAGTATGTAGTTAACACGATCCCAATTGTGAATTGCAGTCACCAACCGTCACTCGGAATATTAAGTTAAATACATGTAAATATGTGCAGCGATAGGTAATAAGTGATGGAACGCCCCGAGAGTATAAACACCAAATGTTAATGGTGTTTTACCAAAACAGGTATCGCTGTGTTCCATCACTTATTACTTACCGCTGTACATGTACTTGCTTTTTGTCATTGATGTTTTCTCACATGCCAGTAGCTAGGCTTAGCCAATTAACCCCAGATGTATATGTAATTACGATACTCATTATGATCACCGATCTTATATGGTGCGCCCACGCTTAAAGGTAGCGGATCGCGACGAAATGTCAATGGCTTATAACTTTGTGACGAAAAATCGTAAAAAAAAAAAAAGCGTAATGATAGAACTCTAGTACTAGTGATGAAATTTAGTTCTATCATTCCAGAATTTTAATATCTGTCTGGGTTGTGAAGCCTTAGGAAGTTGAAATTGTGTATTTTTGAATGTAAAATGCGCCAAGACTGAACAAAGTGGAACAGTATTATACCCATTTATACCCCCCAGAAAAGCAAACCTGACTGATCCGTGGCAGTGATGCTAGAAATGGGCCCTCTTATTGGCCCATGAGGCCCTATTGCAGCCACAATTGTTCCACTTCCGTATGCCACAATTGTTCCACTTCCGTATGCCACCATATCACCTTTAAGAGTGTGCGCACCATACGTACCACGAATAACTACATATGTAAGTCGATTTGAGGCTGCCGTATGCAAATAGGAGACTGTGTTTGAGTACTTTTCGTAGTTATGTATTAGATTAATTATCTTTTTGTCGAAGTGGCTAGGTTGGGTTCTGCTGTACGACTACATATATATGTTCATGATTCTAGGTCCAGAATATCGCAATATCCTAACTACACTCACTCACGGGGTGAAGGTGGATCCTGTCTGATGGCGGTTAGGGATTTGAGGCCAATAAAAGAGTTAGGTTTTGGACGCCAAGGGCAAATTACTGCAAGTAGAACCATCAGGTCAGTAGGTGAGCGACTGTATACGTCCCCCACCAGCCGCCACGCAATTGACATCTGATACGGAACACAAAATCGGAACGTCATAGGCTAGCTTCTTCCCGCGGATGCATCAACCCTCCGATTCTCCACGTACCCCTGGATCGATGTTTGTCCCACTGGTGAGCCCCAGATTCGTGGGTCGCCATTGCCGCTCACAGTCCATCACTCGCTAAATACTGATCCGAGCGCGCGCCGGATAATCAGTCCCATCTACCCCAGAGCGGACCGAATATAGCCTTTTGAACGTGTTTAGCAGTGTGTCCCGCTTTGCCGAAGGCGAGGCTCTACTCGAAGAACTCAACTTCTCCATTGGGTGGCAAAGTGTGGAAAGAAGTCCGCTCATCGCTACTTCACATTTCCAGTTTCGTCAGCCTCAATCCGAAAGTAGAATCGGAGAGGTTGGATGTGACTCGCTTAAACTAGGTAGGTGATCCTGAGAGGGTAGTGGTGGTAGTTGTAGTGTTTTTTTTCTCTCAATATACAGATATGCAAATCATCATCTCGGCAGATTTGACGTTACCGTGCAGTAGCCAGAAGTCGCGCAGACGAGGCCCTTTCTCCAAGAAATAGGGAAGCTCTCCCAGATTCCACTGTGAGGATGGCGCCGCCGATCCCCATCTGGACACCGATACCCTGCAGGTAGGAATCTGTTCGCCTACCCTATGAGACAGCCTTACCGAGAAACTAGCATATCTACAAGTAGATCCTCTGAAAATTCAACGATTAAGAAAGAGCACAAACAAAGCGCTTTGATCTCCCCGTACGCCTAAACATCACGATTCCCAAATGTACAAATTGACCCACAAAGGGAATGTCGAGAGGTCATGAGGCTACAGGCGGGTACCATCTAATCAACACCCACCCCAACCCTTTACAGGTACCCAACCCTTTTACAGGTACCCAACCCTGAGCTACTGCTGCCAGGACCAGGATACAGGCCATAAAAGTGGAGCAACAAACAACCCCCCAGCAAGTATTGAAGCTTATATGTGGCACAGACGAAGATCGATAGTTAGTAGTGCGTGTCGGTTATGTGAAAAGTCATACAAAATTCTACTCGCAGCGCCCAGGACCCGCGGGACCTACATAGGGTCGAGGGAGGATTTTGCTTCCCGGCCGCGCTTACAATTGTGGTCTAGAATCCCGATTTTGCGCCTCTTATCAATCGTGTGTAAAGAGCTACCAACTGTACCTACAGTGGCGGAAGATCGGCCTGGTCTCAGATCGTCAAAGGGTCATTTTTCCGGCGGGAAAGGTTCAGTTTTCTAGATACTCATCTACAAACTCGTGCCTACGAACATGACTCACATAGCCCGTGTTCAGGATCTGCGATCAAAGGCTCCCTAGCTCATATGTACTCTATATAGGTACTACATGGTACTACATTATGACGTATTCTTCTGGGGCGCAAGGAGTCTAGTACGACTATTTTCAGTTACTGCCAGGGACCGTTTCAATCTCATACATATATGGGTACCGAGCGTAAATATTGCTTCGTACCAAGAACAGATACAGATACGCTGAAGAGCCCCAGTCTATCGTTCATTTATTTCTTCTATACAATATTTTCAAATAATGCTCAAGCAGGGGCTAGGTTTGTAACGCAGGATATGCTATCTCGATAACAGATCATCCTGGGGGAAATCTGGGGTATCCTGATAACGGCCAGGATTATGTCTTCTACTAGAGTACAGCTTATACATGTGTATGTGACGTATTATTCTTATATGCTGCTGTTTAAAAACCAATATCTCTGCTAAAACGTGGTTCTGGGAAGTAGATATATGAAAACCACATCATGAAATATCACTTGCAATTGTTCTTTGCTGCCGCAGCATGCCTTTTTTTTTTTTTTTTTTTTTTTTAATTCATTAATTGGCCGCAGAATGCCTATTCCTAGAGCTGTGGTATTGAAACTTAAAGAATCAAGATGGTCCATAGTCAAAAAAATACCAGTTTTAGAGTACTCTAGGTAAAACAAACTTTAAATCTACGAGTTCGCCTCGCGTTGTTTAGATGCAACCGTGTCGTACTACATGTAGTCATATCTCATGCATGGTGATCAGTCCAGATTGATGGAAATTCGAATAGAGACACATGTATACAGAACACGATAACTATATATATAGGGGTACATGTATATACGTACGTATCAACATGTATAACTCTCTATTATAATTATTGTTTCACTGTTTCAACTTTCTCCGTATCGGCTCGTTGGTTGACGATCATGATCAGTTGCGCTTTGGTTCAGTTCTCATTCTCGCGGTTAACTACATGTAGTCTGCAAAACGATTCGACCTCTTTGAAACAATACACGGGTGTAGGTGTCCTTGATGTCCTCTTTCTAGATTTAATTACATATACGTATATAGCTCAAAAGAATCAAAAGTGGCCGCAGCAGTAGAGCGAGTGAGTCATCATGGTTCAAACTTTATAATTTATAATGATGACTCCTAGGTATACAAACCTCCCCCGATAAAATACTGCAACCTGAAGCACCTTGTATTCTGATCACTTCTATTGGGGCCAATAAGGGGTTAGGTTATGCACTCCAAGGGCAAATTACTGCAAACAGAACCATCAGACAGGATCCGCCGTCAGTAGGTGAGCGACTGATACATACATGTTCACTTAGCGCATCTCTCAGCCTCATTAACGCCAAGCCTCGTCAAACCTTCGCAATTAAGGTATTGCTCATACATACCAGAATACATCACAACCCTTTTTGGCCGTTATTTTCAAGATATTATTTAAACAAGTGCTTAAGATCATATCAGACCAAGATGGGCGGTAGTGCATTCAGCGCGTCCAAATACGGGGGAAAACTCCCAACTCCACGCATACCAATGCATATCTATCCAAGGCTTCTCATCCAGTTTCAACAAACCCTCTCACAATTCTATAAAAATGTTTCCTCTCCGCTACCTGCACCCGAAAAGACTGATTACGGGGACATTGACATTCTGGTTGAGGAGCCACTTCCACAAACTCCAGTATCCGCCACCGAGCTCAAGCATGCCCTGAATGCAACTGAGTTCATCAAGGCATCTCCAACTTCCAATTTTGCTATTTGGGATGACGAACTGAAAGCCTACGTTCAACTCGACGTGCACGTCTGCAGGCGCGGTGGTCTCGAGTGGGAATGCTTCCACCATGCCTATGGAGACCTCTGGAATATCCTTGGCGTTATGGGAAAGCCTTTCGGCGTCTTAGTCAACAACGCTAGTCTCCACATATCTGCACAAGGCATCGAGGCGCGTAATCATAAGGATGGAATGATATTTCTTACAGCACGCCCTAGGCAGGCAATCGAGTTTTTCGGATGCGATTGGGCGAAATACGAGAAGGGCTTTAAGACGGTGGATGAGCTTTTCAGCTTCTGCGCGGAGTCAAGGCTTCTATACCACCTAGAGACAAACTGGAAGCTTATTGGCCGAAGGGACGAGGGGAGGTTGAAGGAGAAGAGGCCATTATGTCGGAGGTGGTTTACGGAGTACCTTCCCTCCTATAAGCCTAGGAATGAGATGAAGCCGGTTATCACACGAGAGGAACTACTAGAGGATGCGCTTATAAAGTTTGATAAGCGGGGTGCATACAAGGCACTTATTGACAAGTGGGGCAAGGAGGAATTTGATAAGATGTGGACCCGGATCGCGGAGGCTTTACCAGTGAAGGGTACAGAATTGGCCCTGGTACTGAGACCCTTACAGACTAGATTGAAGAAAGAAGATACGGCTTTAGGTGTTCAAGGTTTGTGTGGAGGCGCAAAATTACGCAGAGAAATAAAATGGACTGCTATTGCCCTGAGTGAGTGGCAGACTTTATTACAAAAGGGGCTGACTGAAAGCACAAAACTCCGGGAAGAAGGTCTAAACAAACGGCAAGGGAAAAAATAGTTGGTTCCGCTATGTGTACGTACATTTTCTAGTGTTTTATGTTGATGATTGGTACGCCTTGTCTTGACTGTCAATGATTTCTTGGCCTGAATCTCGAGTGCCAAGAACTCTTCCACAATAAGTTTAGCCTCTTCATTCATTATCACTCGTTGCTAGGCGTCGACAACCTCTTCAGAGTCTCCACCAAAGGTCCTGATACTTTCGGCAAGAATATCAGAATGCGTACTGTATGCAGAATATGCCGTCTTAATTAAGATGAAGAGCCCCATGGTGGCCTATTCCACAACCAGCAGGTGGGAATAGCATCCTTGTAGACTTGACTGCCAACCCTGTCACCATCATCACGTTACCTACTTCCTACTTTAGGTACTCTACCTACATACTCGCCTCGTCCACACAACATTCCGCCCAAATCAAAGAGGCACAATTAAAATTTACCCATGAACAGACACGACACGATATAAACTATAGTACTCTAGAGCAGACGTGTTCGTGCTTAGCTTTGTAAGTTCTCTTACTAACGGCCTAATCGAGATAAATGTCAGCGGCCAGCTAGTCACTTCATGTCACTGGTCACACAAACAAAAACCTAGTACCCACCGGGAAGATGACTGTAACCTGTACCACCCCCCACAACATACCCAGCTCTTGTAACATCTCATTTCAGGCGCCAAAGGAGCACCTCGGATAAATCTTTCTTTTTTGCTATTTTTTTTCTTTCGCACTTGCCTTTAGCTTTTCGCCCTGGCCTTTCCTCTGCTGTTTCTGGGTCGGGGAGGGCGCTGTAGTTGATTCTTGACAATAAGCACCTGTGGAGTTGTACGGAGAGAAGGATTTTTTTAAATTTTAGTTACCCGCCGCCGCGCCCGAGGAACCTACTTACGTCCTACCGGCCCTGCCCTAAGGTTAATACATGTACATGTTTCAGCTAGCGGCGCTGCTTGCTCTCTCGTAAACACATGATGATTCTTGCTTCACACTGCCTCAATGTGATAAGAATGAGAAGGTTAGGAAGACTAATTGATGCACATGGTTTGCAAGCAATTGTGCTTCTACTCATGGAACAAAATTCGTGAACCGTACATATCCATATTCGATCCACGTTATACCCTAGGATTATTATACAGGAAAACCTAATCACCTCAATACAAGTTCAAACAGTAAATAAGCGCATTTAAGATGAAGGTAAAATAGAGAAAGGAGAGAAAATAAACTAAAAAATAGTAATCATGTCAATCGTCGTGCAGATTAGCTCCCGGATCATCCAGAAGCCTCTGCAGCACACCCGGGTCCATATCTCGTTCCAATCGTGTTTCCTCTCTCCTAGCCCTGGAAGTAGCTTCAGCACTCATATCCACATCTCGTAAATCCCTTGAACAAAAAGTAGAGTTAGCGATTAATAGTATCATGCGGGTGGCTTCGATCCGGTGCATATAATGCATTTGGTTGTGTGATATTGACAGCATTGTAAAAAAAATGGGGGAAAAACCATGGCTTCCTTACTCCGGTCGAGGTTCCTCCCGAGACTTCGTTGGTCCCATTTCGGGCATGCTTGGCGATGCCGGCTCGACGATCGTAACTCTTTTTGCTGCTGCCGCCGCCGGGGTCATAGGAGAGGAGTGGAGCTCTTGTGGTTTGCTGCTATCTGTTGTGGCCGTCAGCTCACCGTGCTTGCTTGATATGATAGGGGAATTGGCCTGTTCATTTTGGTACACTTACCAGGCATCTCAAACACTTGTCTCCCTTGTGCCTCTACTATCACCGCGTCTATTGGATTCGAAGCTTCGGTCATGGGACTAACCATGCTTGAATGTAAATCGTACGGGTTCGTCATTTCGGTACCTGGCGTCTGATCATCCGGGAATTCGCGCTTCTCATCACCATAAACGCCCAACAACCAACTCCACGTCTGCCTGTTCTTCCTGGTTGTGCTCGCCGCCGAATCTGTCGGCGCGCCTCTACCCCCCCGCTTCTTCCGCCGCAACCAGAACAATACTCCGCAGAGAATTGTAATTAGTCCGAGAAGCCCGAGTATGGCGCCGAGGAGCGGTGGTACGTAGGAGGGGAGACCATTGCCTCCATCACTAGATGCAGGGGTGGTGGTAAAGATACCGCTGGTGGTTGTAGTGTCGGGAGCGGGGGAATAGGGCCAGTAGGTTGGAATTGTTTTGGTATAGGGGACATTGAATAAGTCTTTGATATCGTCGTTGTCCCAGGTTTTAGCTTGGAGTGTGCCACCTCCGTCCTCGCTGTAAGAACCATTAGTGAATTGAATATTCCGAATTCAATAAGTACTTCAAACTTACTTCCCGCCGATTACATCTGAAATCGCGGTTGGAACCTTATAACTATCATAAACCCTCGGATCATACTTGTCTTCCCACTGCAATGTATTCAGATTAAATAGCCTAATCAACCCTCCTCTCAAACAGTCTACAGCATTGGCCTGTGGTCGTCCACCAACAACCATCATCTGATTATCGGCCACCTTATGGCATTTGTGGCCCTTACGACGATGGATTTGGTCGGTACCATCATATACTTTGGTCCATGTGAACGAAGGTAGTGATAGTACGTAAACGTCGGCAGAAACAGGTTTCATGTTGAGGGGATTTCCGGAAAGGTCCTCGTGTCCACCATAGGCATAGATCTAGAATAAAGTTAAGAGAGGCATTTATTCGGGTGGGAAGGGACAAAAATTGACATCCGGGATGCATGTTGCTTACCTGGTGAGTGGTGTTATCTTTTGATGAAGCAACAACGGTACAGAATTGTGCCTTTGGTGAGAGGGTTTCACCAAATGTCTGTTGTGTGTACCTGGAGAGACATTAAAGCGTTAGTGACATATCTTTCACATTGTGTAGCTCAGCGGCCACTCAAACCTTCATATGAAAGGGATCATACCACTTATCATTAGCTATATCATATAAATGAACCTTATTAATAAATTCATCTCCCAGTGTCTGCGACTCCACCGATATATTCTTCTCATATGGGTATAGCGCCCGATTGATAGAGCCGCCGATAGCAACCAAGGTTCCCTGAGCTCCAACTGGTATCCATACTAGCTCAGAGCCTATTCGTGCGTGGATGCTCGAGGGGAGGGTGACATTGCTCCAAACTTCGCTGCCCATTATGCTCATATCAACGGAGATGAGCTGGGAGCTATTTCCATATGGGCGTAGGTCGACGCTGTTCGCTGTGAGTGGGTCAAAGAATGGACCCCAATCCTTTCCCTATATTCCACCAAACAATCCCCTTAGAAAACGGACACCGACACAGATAGCTTTGAACTCATAGAACTTACAGTGGCGCCACTAAACACATAGGCCTTATTTTCACTCGGCACATTCACACTTCCCGCGCTCGCGATATATCTCGTTATGTTATCTAAGGCTAACAATTGGAATTCTCCTGGATCGCTCAACGGCGTTGCTCCATTTTGGATCATATACCGAGCTAAGCTCCACATTTCGTTGATGCTAGCAGATTCATCTCTGAGTCGGAGATAACCACCGTATATTATAAATTCGTAGTCGTTGGCGAGCATGAATCCATCATGGAAATCAGTACCCATATTACCTGGAGCCTTGGTGAGATTGCTGAGGATATCAAATTGATAGTCATCCATGGAAAAGGTGTGCGTTAGATTTATAGCATAGAGGCGGCGGAAGCCCTCTGGTGAAAAACATCTGAGTAAGTCTATGTAAAGTGAGGAAGACATAGAAGGACATACCTAGCTCTGCGAGGCCGGTTTCTCCATCTATTGTTGTCGTTACTGACATATAACCCCCATCAATGTAAATAGTATCTCTAAAAAGTGCACCTGGTAGAAACGATCAAATCAGCAATATTCCATCCTATCCCAGTCCTCCAACACATCGCATAGTGATTCAAAAGATAAAAAGAAAAAAAGAAGAAAAAGGAAGGAAGAACTTACTCTGCGGCCTGTCCCAGAAACAGATATTCTGTGTTGTTCCCGAATCCGCGCGCACCGCCAAGGTACTACCAGTAGGGGAGCTATTTGACGATCCTAGGAATAGAAAGACCCCCCCAATCTGAAGTATTGTCCGCAACATCCACGAAGGTGAGAGGAGCCGCATCTTGAATCAAAACCACTCTTGAGCGTTTCTTCTCTTGAAATGCAGGCGCCGTGTGGCCGTTGAGTGTCTTTTAGGAGCAGAACGGACTAAGAATCGTTTCTGAGAAAAGATGGTGGGGTGGTGGACAAAGAGGAAAGGCGCCGATGGTTTGGGCGGGTGAGAAGTAAGGTGGCCCAGACTTTCAGTACATGGAATCGCAAAACTATTCCTTTCTCTACTACTCTAATAGGTATATTATGCACTCTATAGAGATGTCTTACTACTACTATATGCAACGTTAGTTATTAGGCAAGTGGTGTGGGTGTCGGACCTGTGTGAGTGCGTTCCTGTGCGAGTGCGTTTTGCCATGTGTGTGCAGCAGTTCCTGATGGATGGATCGATGTGCACTGTATTTACTGGTGCGGGGGCAGCGGCTGAAAGCAATGAATAAAGTAGAGCCGAAATAAATAAGCCTCGCTTTCATCTGCGCGTCGGATGCTCTCTGGCTAAAACAGCTTAAGGTACGTCGTATCCTGCTACTCTACAATCAATTGTGTCCTATATATGTTTGTGTCTAACTTTTCTTGGTCCTCTTTTTAGCTGAATATTTTCTCAACTCAATATTGCATGATTTTGAGAGATATTTTGCTGCTGATAGAGGTAAAGGAGGTATAGTACTGACAGATTTCCAATTTCTAGGTTCATTCGGGAAGCCGCAGCCTCTCTGTAACTCATTCGGAATTTATTTACGGGCACACCGATACCCCCCGTGAACTTTAGATATGTAGAATTCGATCACGATCCATCCATCCATATTTTTGGCGGGGTTCCTGGTTTGTGTAGCATCAAGTGTATGTACCCCTCTGATAGATATCGGTGGCCGGATATCATCTTCAACCTCCACCCCCTGCAAGTGCGATATCCCCTTGTGTAAGCGACTGGCTGCAGGCCTGCTCACCAACAAAGTGGGGTCCATCATGCACGTAGATTGTGTATATTTGGACTTGATGAGTAAAGAGGTGTAGGGCAGTGAAAGAAAGAAAAACACTTCCCCGAGATGATAGCTTTGAGGTGGCGCCGCCGTGGCGCAATCAAGCAATTTGGATTGGAAGAGTCTCAGACTAGCTTGTGTCGTGCATAACTATTTAGTTGTCCCTGTATTTGTTTTTTCCAAATAACTTAGACACCCAACGCGGTCTGGGTTCAATTGATCAATTTTGAAGTGATGAGTGAGACCAAGACTTTGTGAGGAGGCTCTTTTGAATCACAGAATTAGCGACCGTCTGCTATGCTATGTGTGTAATATGTAGGCGTATGTAGAATGGGATGTGCATGTGCAGGTCAAGTAGAACCGTGTCTAAAGGTTTATCTCGACATATATGATTGATTGTAAAGGTAGTGGTTGTCTTGCTCAAATAGGCACCGTACCTACCTACCATGGGCATGTCCTTCGAATAGTTTATCTACGATGAGTTGTCCCTGCCATATCTATTTTCTTCCACCTATAGAAACATCAGTCATAATCCGAGGAGCATTAACCAATGCCACAAATCAGTTATATGTGCAGACTGATTGGATTGATAGGTAGTATACCTAACTAGAGCATCTAGTTCGCGAAGAAAAATTAACGAAAAGCTATCAATTGCCCACAGGGTAGGAGCTATCGAGGCTCTGAAGCAAGGGTTTGTCGGTAGACTTGCAATTGACTAATTATAAAAAGCTCCAAACTCGCTCATTCACCGGGCCTGCGGGGTCAGTATCCTTGAATTGTATGGGAAGGATTAGCGGTTGGTTTCTACTCATGAAGCTATGTATGTGTGTAGGGTATCTGTTCATAGCGAAACATACCACCGATTTGGAGTGGGTCACTGGCCATGGTAGAGTGCCTAGGCAGGTGGGGCAAAGAAAAATAAAGTACCTACCTAGTCAGACGGTGGTGCGTGCCTGCTGCGGTCACAGCCAGCAGGGATTTCCCGGGATGTAATCTGATCTCTTTCTCTTGGTGAACAGTACCGATTCCCGCACTCCCAACTACATTTATCTCTATCCGTAAGTGGTACTACGTACCTACTTCATGTACTTATGTGATGACTTTTGTGTGTGCCACTCTGGGAATATACTCGATCGTACTATTATGTGCCATATGCACATGCTGTTCCCCAAGAAGCTAGAGCAGGGAAGATATCGTATTCTGCGGCGGTACGGTGCCTAGCATGGTCACACATATATATGTACATGTGAAATAATGAAGTAATAAAGCCGAGTCTGCCCTGAAGACTGAACTGTTTATCAGCCTGCCTGAGTACTAGTACGAGGTCTTTTCAGTATTCCTCTCGTTTTTCTTCTTTCTCTTCAGTGTTGCAAGGACCTCATTCGCTCCGTCCCTGCCCCCTAGGAAATACGGAAGACAACATTCGTTCAATTAGGGCTGAAGGATTAAAATACACTCGTTAGTTCTTGCGTATCTTTTTTCTTGAACCAAAGCAATGGTTTGGGGGAGATGTGGATCTAGGCTCGTGGCAGCAGCGGCCCTCGCTTTATTCTATGGTGGCCAACACCAGGTGTCCGCTACATACTGCAATAACACTGTCACCGAGTTTATCACGTCGAAATGGACCTATATGCAGTTATCCACTGTCTATCAGCCGGGGATAGAGCACACTTACACGACTACTGAGACCTGCTATGTTACAATTACTGAGCATCCTTATCCGGTTACTGTCACGCAAACGCTAGTCATCAATTCAACGCATACAGAGACCTTACCAATTACCGTTGTTGAAACTGAGACGGCGACGACAACAGATTTGAAAACGACAACAGATTTGAAAACGACTACGGACCTGGAGACAACGGTCAAGACAGATACAAGTACTGAGACTACAGTGACAACGGATTGGCAGACACAAACATATACTTCATACATCACGGAAACAACATCATTGCCTGGTACCACCCTAACTGCGAATGGAACAACGATCACAATGCCTCCGGTCACGGTCGTCAACACCTTTACAACAGTCTTTACGACTACTGAAAAAGTCACTGACACCGAAACTGCGACGGCGACAACAACGGCTACCACTACTTCTGTCACAACTACAATTTCTGTCTCCACAGCCACGAGAGATGTGACTCGGACCTCCACTGTTACCGATTGGAAGACAACTGTTACCCCAATATTCATCACAAAGACCACAATAAAATATATTCCTACAACTAAGCTTTTGACTACTACAAAGTCAAAGACAATAGTATCAAGCGAGTATATCACGACAAGCGTCTTAGTAACAGTATTGACAACCCTCACATCTCAAACGACGCTTACCACCAAGGAGACTTATCTTAGCACTATCACTGAGAAGACCACTGAGAGGATCACCGAGAAGTTCACCGACACAACCACCGCAACAGAGACTAGCACCACAACCGCAATAAGCGTTGTAACCTCAGTTACCACATCTGAAACAACTTACTATTCTCCTACGACGGTTTATCAGACTACGGTAGAAACTCTGCTAGGGACAACAATTACGACAAGTTATCCTGTGACAACAAGTGTTCTGGTGACTGATACGGAGACATTCACGACCATTCGCACAGTTTTCCAAGATGTTTATATTACGATTGATAGACCTGTTACTACCACTGAAAGGTATACTAGCACAACGACTGCCACAAGTATGGTGACTTCAGTTGTTACTTCAGAGACCACTTATTTCGTCCCGACAACCCTATACTCCACATTCACAACGACTACGCAACTCCCAGGAACAACAGTCGTTCTCACCACAAGCTATCCGGTAACTACAAGCGTTTTGGTAACCGATTTTGAGACATATACAACAGTTCAGACTGTCTTCCAAGATGTGCTTATCACAATTGACCGACCGGTCACCACAACTGAGAGGATTACAACCACCACACCTGTCACATTGACTGAGACTGAGAGAATCACAACTACAACTCCGGTGACAGTTACTGAAAGTTATACTAGTTTCGCAACTGTAACAACTGTGGCGACCTCAGTTGTCACTTCTGAGACAACGTACTGGTCCTCTACAACCCTTTTCTCCACAGCTACAACCACACTCCCAGGAACAACAATCATCTCAAGTTATCCTGTCACTACCAGCGTCCTTGTGACACGTACCGACACAACCACAAGAACCGACACTCTCACTCGAACCGACACACTCACGGCAACCGAGACTCTGACCCGGGATGTTCTAGTGACAATTGATCGACCTATCACTATCGATCGCCCTGTCACTATCGATCGCCCAGTAACGATTACAAACCTTGTAGAGGTGGAGATTATTATCACTAGGCCAGTGACTATCGAAGTGCCAACTACGACAACAAGTGTGGTCACTAGTGTTGTAACGACAGTTGAGACCATGCCAGGAACAACTGTTACTAGGAGTTTCACAACTACTGACACTTTGGTGGTGACAACGACAAGTGTTGAAAGTTATACTACGACCTACTTAAGCACGCTTACAACTACTTCATTACTGACGACAACTGCTACAGCTACCACCACTGCCACTGATACTACTACGGCCACAGACACTACTACCGCCACAGACACTACTACGGCCACAGACACTACTACCGCCACAGACACTACTACCGCCACAGACACTACTACGGCCACAGACACTACTACGGCCACAGACACTACTACGGCCACTGATACCACGACAGCAGTGACTACGGCTACCACCTCGCTATTATTTACTACTACACTACCAGGCACGACAATTACCCAAACTCTTCCTGCAGAAACAGTGATAAGTACACTTCCAGGTATCGTGACTACAATCACGGGCCCGGGTACCACTGTGACAAGCACCCTACCAGGAATAGTAACAACCACAACACTTCCACCCGTCGTCACAACATTTACCTCACCACCAATCACAACTACAATCGAGCTTCCCGGCCTTACACGCACTGTAACAGAAACATGTACCCGCCGTGCAGCTCCAACTAGCTCGACCATTATTGTCCCGAACGACTATACCTTTGGTTGTGCACCGGGCTATATCTGCTCGCCCGTTGACCGCTGTGAAAGCGAACCAGCCCCAGAGCTTGGGTATGTCTGTCAGCCGTCGGAATGTGTGGAGGCACCACCGGTTTGCCCAGTGACCGATTGGGGTGTTCCGGTTTATTCCAACGAGATTGGGGTGTGGCCAATTCAACTGCCGTACTATCCTCTTGACCCGACCTTGTTTGGATTGACGGATGCGATTTTCGTGATTGAGGATACAGGATATATGAAGAGATCTGTTGGTGGCCTTATGAGTATGGAATTTGAGCTGGAAGAAAGGCAAACGGATGAGTCGGTGTCGCAAATTTCTGTTTGTTACGATGACTGCGGTATGTAATCCGGTCCTTTTGAATCAACACATACTCATCAATATTCTATAGGTAACGCATACACCGATGCCCAGAGCGCTGGTAAAACAGCGAAACTCTGCGCTGCAAATGGAGCTTTTATGCAGTCTCTTGGAAGATGCATCGAGTGTATCAATTTTCACTCCGAGACCCCGAGACTGCGGCGAAAGCATACGCGGTGTCAATTGCGGATATTGACCAGTACCTTAACTTCTGTAACGAGAACTACCCAGTGTCTAGTAGTGCTAGCGCTGCTCCTTCGACAACATCAAGTACTACGGGAGCAGTCTTTACTCCGCTTCCACAGGTGACTGGTAGTGAATCTAGTAGCTCAACGGTAAGTTATTTCGTATCACCAGAGCCTGTATATATTTGACACTGATATCTTGGGATATAGACAACCACGAGAAGCAGTAGTACCACTTCTACAACTATTAGCTCAACCAGTACGACATCCTCTTCCTCTTCCTCGAGAACCCCGAGTAGTAGCTCCACTACTTCTGCTTCTTCCTCTTCGACTGGTAGTACAAGCACTCCTGCTTCTTCGTCCGCCACTTCTTCTACTACAACTAGTAGCAGCAGTAGCAGTACAAGACTGCCATCTTCTACAGTAGCGTCGACCTCTAGTTCTTCTCAGGTCTCCTCTACTATAGAGGCTGTTTCATCCAGTCTGTTTCCTCTCATCTGAATAACCTTGGGAAATTTTACCTCCACGCTCTATAGATGGAGAGGATATTTTCCAATTTAGACAACAAGCTGACTTTGTATTGATTTAGGCTCTTCTTCGTCCGCGTCTTCGTCTGCCCCTGCGTCATCAACAGTAGTTATAAGTTCATCAGCTACAACCAGCTCTTCAACGACCACTGCTACAAGTTCCAATTCAAGTTCATTCTCAGATGCCCCTACCTCCGTAAGTCACCTAGCAATATTCATAAACGGAAATATGCTAACGGTCTCAGACTACTACCAACACAAATACGACCCGGACTGGTGTAGAGCTTGCCAGCACCAATAATTCTAGTGGTCCGTCGCATAATATGGGTGGACTAGCACTCTTGTTGTTTGTGACTTTGATTTTCCTTAATATGTGATGGATGAGTTTTTGATCTTTTCTTTTGTTTTTCTTCTGGTTATGGTTATGATACCTTAATGAGTTATTACTGAACTGTCACGCTCACGCTCCTTTATGAAAGTTTTATGATGGGTTGGATATTCGGAGAATTGGAACAGAAAATTGTTTTTGATTATGTTGAGGAGTTAGATGAATGGGATGTAACTAATGTTGAACCATATTTCTTTCCCTACTTGGTTTTTGTCTATTTGCTCTACCGGATTCTTTGTAGCGAACGCTTGTATACCGAATATTTTCTGTACCGAACCACTTTGGCTGGCTTTTTTTCTCCCTGGCAAAGAGTTTGGTCTGCTGTACCGAATAATCTGCTATACTGAGCGGAAAGTTGCTCAATATGCACGTTCGTTATAGCAGCGGGCGACTGTACTAGTACCCAGGGCCAAACATGGAAGCCAGGGGAAATCGGCGTCACGGTCCCACTCTAGCTCTAGCTCCCCGTGTCTTGATCAATTGAGCCGAGAAGTTGAGGGGCCTTGCAGTTGCGTGATTCCGAGAGAGCTAGGACTGCACTGCTGCGCGGTACGTCAAATCTGCCGAGATGGGGGGCTATGCGCTCGTGCGCGCTGATTATCCGGCGATATTTGGCGAGTGGTGACTACATACATGTATGTAGAGACCGTGACTCACGAACCTAGAGGCTTTTGTAGAATGAAGCGCCACTTTGGCGATGTGAGCCTTCCTAGACCCTTCGCCGGGCGGATTGTTGGTTATATCGTTTGGAAGAAGAGGGATTCATCCATCCACGCACGCAGGTTATGGGCTGGGCCTACAGGGCACTATCATAACATGTACCTACATGTAGCACGCTGATACTTTAGTGTAAATTTGCGTCTTAATATGAATTTATTTTGAATTGGGGCTGTATGTTGTTGGTGGGTTAACAACAATATCTCGGGTGATAGATTATGACTAAACCGACAACGGAGGGCGGGGTGGTGTTTGAGAACTGTGGTTGCTCACACGGTAATCAAGAAGCTAGGAATCGAAAATTAAAACACTCAGTTTCTGGGAGAATAAAACGACCAGTGTAGCGGTTAAGAAAGCCACACAAAAACTATTACGACGTGGACTATATCTCTTTAATTGCTGAAAATACAGGGTTTCTGTACTATATATACGAAGATTATTAAGGGCTCCAACACTACATGTATAACTTACCTAAAGGTTTAATGCGCCTGGGCCCGGGTTCCTGGGAAGACCCACGTAAAAATTAAGCCCACTTCTAGCCTTGTGTACGTGCAGATAGCCGTTAGCAGTTATGAACAAGCACAAAATACGTGTTTGAGACATACACCACCGTGGGGGCATAGTTCTAGCGAAATCTGAAGTAGAAGCTAGTAGATGATCTACATATAGACTATTCAGAGATGTTCCTCAAGCCTGCTAATAGAGCATGCTAATAGGTATCAATTATCATGATACTTTACCCTTTATCGGCGTATATTACGTACTCAAACTAAATGCATATCCAACAGAAGGTTATCGGATTCATCATCAAGATTATTAACGTTGCTAAAGACATACCGCAGCAGAAACCAGTTTTGAATTCACTACATGTTACAATATATCCACATGCGGGCATAATTGGCTCCGGGACACATTTGATTTATAATTAGACCGACCTCATTGCCCAGTATCGACATAATAAAGATTACCGTATTTTGAACTAGAATTAAGGCACTACGCTAATGGTTTCTTGGCGTAGTAAATATGCCTGTTATAATATTAGCAATGAACATATAAATAAATAAGAAAAATGTAGTTCTTAATGTCGTGAATAGGCATGGATTTTAGGGTTTTTGGCTTCTTTCTTTGCTCCTTCAACCAATACAATCGACCCCCTTGGGATCCATCCCTAAAACCCTGGTCAACATTGCCATTCCGACTGCTGTGAAAGCAGTTTCTGTTACCATTAGTAGAAGTGCCCCCATTTCTTTTTGTCTTTTATCTTTTGGCCAGAGCCCCAGCGGTGCTTTTGTTTCTAAGTAGTGTATATCTGTGAAACCAGCTACTGTTATAAACTCCTTTAGTGACGCTGCGATTTGAAATCTTGAATACTTAAGGTGATCTAGTATCATATCCCAAATGGGGTAGTGTTGATGGTAAAGCTTCTTGAGATGTACTCAAACATGTTCAATGGGATTTAAGTCAGGGGAATAGGTAAGCTAGTCCTCCAGAACATCTACCCCACACTCCTCCAATCGCTGAGTTGTAAGGGTTGTGGTGTATACCTTTACAAACTTAATAGTTGTAGGAGCATGGGGTACACTGTCTCTGGGCGCCATCGGTAGTTGTGGAAAAAATTTGTGGTCAGGCATTGCAGTCAGGCGTTGCGGCGTTGCGACCTCACACCTTCCGATGATTTATGGCATCGCGCTGTACATGCCGCGTGTGCACAATCTTAGCTAATATATCGTCAACTAAATTCATATAGGCCGACTCAGTGGAGCTGTCAAACGAGCATATTTTGTAGTCAAAGGATGAGGGGCAAAAACGGGTGGGGCATAAGATAGGGTCGTTTGACCAAAAGGCGAGGTTCTGCGGGCAAAAGACAAATTTGGACATCTGGACGCCCGAATTCGTCTTGACGAAACCCGGTTTTGCTGATGGACTGGGTGAGGAAGAGTGTTTGCCTTCAAGTTTAGGTTTTTAGGACATGCAGTGGCACGCACAATCCATGATCTATTCCTAAGTGAATAACAGAATTGGTCGTGTCCAGTCTGATCGTGTAACTTGAAACATTGTATTACGTGAGTAATTCTATAGTTATATCAATTCCTCCTTCTCAATGAGCTGGCTCACGAACCCTCCTCGCTCGCATGAGTTCTACCTGCCAGTGTTTGCCCTTTCGATGCCAACTCGTTTCCCAGTATTCCCGGATCCTATTTCGGGAACAGTTCTTTGTCTATACATATATATGTGCTTCTATATGTGGTATGCAGACCATACATCCTAACCAATAGAAATGCTTCGTGATGAAAATGAATAAGCTTATAATGCTTAGACATCAAACTCATAAATTCTGATACGATAGTACTTTACTGCAAGTATCACTCGTACATTACCGACTCTGGATCGACCATTGGCAGTAACTCAACACTGCTTTATACACCCTAATCCGGTACCTCATTACCACTACTTGATTCCTGTTCGGTACTTTATAGAATCCGACTTGGTACTTTCTAGAGCCTAATTTGGCACTGATAATGGAGTACAGTGGTTCAGTTAGAAAGCGGGACATTCGCGGGCTGGCCAGATTAGTACTGGTACATAACACAAGAATCTATTAATCCAGTACATAATAGATATTTGTAGTTAATATTATGCCATCCCCAAATGGCTTCGCGCCTATGTTTTCTGGGTTAATATTGAATGACCAAACCGACTAGGTAAATGCAATTGCGCAAGATCATGCCTATATTCCTTTAGGCATCGGCCTGATCTCAATCGTATTACCCAAACCCAGTAGGAAAGCCGTGGTACAAACATCGCAGAAAATCGTCCATGGCTAGGTCATCTATCATGGATTAGACGATAAGATAAGAGAGTATAAAATCGTGAGGAACAACTACTCGCCGGATTTTAAAGTCTGACCGGACAGACTTTAGTACATGAACGCATTCTTATCACAGCTTCCTCATCCGGGTTAGTAACACAAACTTTATTTCGAGCCTCAATAATCGTCCGCTGACGTAATGGGTCAAAACACACATCTAAGATCTTCGCTTCCCCTCAACCCCTCCTCCTCCTCCTTTACATCACCAGATTCTGTTTTATTAAAATGGCAAAGACAAAGAAGAAGAAGGCCACCACAAACACAGCGCGTGGATTCGCTACAACCTCAACACCATCGAAAATCAAGCCATCCGAGCCTCCTGTGGATGATTCCGTCCCTAGCAAAACCGAGGATGAAGTTTCAGGTATCCCCAAGCCAGGAAGCGGGAGTTCAAATATAGATGAGAAAGAATACACTATTCCAACTGAGGAAGAGCAAGCGGATTTTGAATTGCAGTGTTTTGTAGAAAAAAACGGTCCTAAGGTTAATAAAGAGTCACAAAGGATTGTAAGCAAGACAGAAACAGAAAAACGCACAATCAGGAACATATGTTTCCCTCTAAAACTTGAGAAAATCCTCAGGTTTAATCTTACGAGATACGCCTCTAAGCAGAAGGTAGAAGAGGATATTAACCAGGAGGTTGGCCTAGGAGAGCAGATCCTGAGGTTGGCCAGAGAGGAACAATCAAAACTCTACCCAGACCAGCCCAAAGCTTTTATGAGGCGGGGAGAAACTTTATTGGTGAATGGATGGATATTGCACAAGACATTGACCGCCATGGGGTTTCCTAGCAGGAGAGTAGAGGAGGGATTGCGGGCATTGGCCGGAAGGAGCAGTAATTCACTGGAGAAAGAGAAAGGCCTCGAGTCAGCGATGGAGGATATCCTAGACTGGTTAGCATTATATTGCGATGAAGACGAGCTCCCGGGATTCTTGGATGCGAGTCCCGGATCTGGTAATGTTTCTAAAAGAGGATCATCCGGTAAGCTTGCTATCCCTCAAGGCCTCGACGTAATGTTTCTGATCTCTTCTAGATATAACACCAGCAGGAACGCAACCTTCTTCGGGAGTATCTACTCCTCGTCAGCAAATATCTGACACTCGTCACCTATCAGTTAGAGTTGCCCCAAATCCAAAGTTGGAAAGCAATAATACTCCCAATGTAGACGCAATAACTGTGAAAACAGGCGAGAGTGAGGAAGACGAGGGAGACCTTAATCCTGAGCAGCTTATACCGGGGTATATCAAACTACAAACCCAGATTTATAACCTTAATCCGGTTTTAACTGCTATTTCTGGCAGCAAAAAGGGGGGGAAAGGGCGCAAGACAACACAAGCCCCCAAAGAACTCTCTTCCGGGCAGATGAAAAGTTTGAAAAAGCTACAAGATAAACTTAGAGCTC